TGTAATAAAATAGAGCATCAGAATGGTCAATTTTACTGAAGCACAAGCTAGATTAAGGGGGGAATTTTAGCACATAAACGAGGAAACAAATTTTATATGGACTGTATCATGTTCAGTCATTAGAAAATTAAAATGTGATCAGTGTATAAGAACTATGGTAGTCCATAGGCTAAATGATACATATTTTAATGCAGTTATATTTTAAATGTATTTTAAATATAATGGTTAAATTTCACCTGATTTGTTCGAAATGCTAGTCTTTACGTGCCAAATCAGGTAATCCACAACAGCAGATCATTGTCCATGTTTTATGACTCAATATAGGATGATTTTTTTTTTATTTTCTTTGCAAACCTTTAACAATTATCCATTTTTACATCACTATATCCCTCCGAGCATTACATGGAACAGGTGTTGTGCTACAGCAGTGCAGATTTTTACACTGACTTGCACTTCATCCTTTCACCACATTTTAGAAACCCTGGCTGGTTCTGCATAGTGCATGAATGTGTGGAGCACGATCACTTGTTAATCTTTCCAATTTTTTTGAGAACCAACTGACTACTAACCTAAAGAGCAGGAGGTCAGCAGAGGCTGTTCCCCTCCCTGCTGCATTAGCTCGACTGCCTTGGAATATCTCTGGCTGCACAGCTGTAGCCCTGACGATAGAGCTGTTGAAAAGAGCCTATTTGCATCTCAATTGCAAGCGCCATGTGAGGCAAACATGCTGTGTTTTCAGCATTTGCATGATTAAGGAGGCAAGCAGTTTTAAATATCCCTGATTGGCTACAGAAAACCTGCTAAAGGAGAAGATGCGTCTCCACTTATAAATACTATCGAATATTTTTATTATTATTTATAACATCATCTTCTCCAGTTTTAATGCAAGGAAAAGCCATCCAAGTGCAACATGGTAAAAGTAAATTAATAAGATGATTATCAAACAGTCAATGGCACTGTGTTGTATATGTTAAAATTAGGGACAGGGCAAATTAGGGCAATGCTCAACATTCTATAGGCTGCTGCAAAACTGGAAAACCTCTTCAAATGGCACACACAATTAAATACCTAAAAGAAAGTGTAGACGGTGTTCGTACCGAATGGAAATGTAAACACCCTTTAGTATCCCATGTTTACCAGGAAGATGCCATTAGCGAGGTGCATTCCCAGCTCAAAAAGCAAAACCACTGATGTGGCACAATGTAAGTTATTGTGGGTTGGAGTTAGAGAGCTGATTGACTGCAGGTGGGGGCTTGACAATTGAGCCCTACGCAGGTGCCATAAGGCTGTAGCTCGCTCCAGTACTGGGAAGCAAGCGGAGAGGCTGAATGGGCTGTGGAAATGGGAGGACTGGGGGTGCTGAAGGTAAGGGGGGACAGGAGGAGTGGAGAGGCCAAGAGGGTAGGGTAGGTAGAGATACGACACTGGAGCCCGGCGCAACCCGAGAGTCTGAGACCACAGGACCGTGAACTAGGGTTTTAGAATAATAATAATAATTGCTTACACTTATATAGCGCTTTTCTGGACACTCCACTCAAAGCGCTTTACAGGTAATGGGAACTCCCCTCCACCACCACCAACGTGCAGCATCCACCTGGTTTTGAAACGGGATGAATGCAATATACATCCTCATATCCAGTATACTGACACTATAAATACGCTTGCATGTTCATTTTAAAAACGCAGTGGGCACTAGACATATTAACATTAGAGGGCCTCTTTTGGGATGTGTTGACAGAAGACTGCCAAATGCAAAAGAAACATCATTCACAGAAGAAAAATCATTTTTCAAAATCTTTTGAAAAACAGTAAAATGGAACTTTTTTACACGCTATTTATTATTATCCTGTTATGATACAGTTTTTACATACATAAATTGTGTTTGGAGAAACACTGTTAGTGCAAATGGTGATTTTACCTTTTGTAGGCGTGTGTCTAAACAAAAGCTTAGATCAAGTTTTTATTAACATGATCTGCCACAAGGGGGCATTTGTATACCACTGGTCTTAAACTGTTCAAAAGCATCGGATCCATAAACTCATTTTGATTTATTAACTTGCAAATATTGTGATCTTGCAAAAATTCTTGACTTGAGTAGTAAGCTTTTACTGCTGCTGTTTATAGCCTCTATGATTTATGCCGTCAGTAATTTTCCGTAATTCAGGCTTTGAAATACGTTCTAGCTGGTAACACACTTTGCTTCAGCTGATTTGCTTATTATTTGCTTATTTTAATACTAAAATTTGAGTAGTTTGTTAGCTGTCCTAGCCTATCCCATGAGCCTAGCTTTTATATATATATATGTGTTCACTTTTAACTTAGTAACTGAAGTGTATGTTATCTTTCAGACCCTTAATTCCCCATTTGATGTCATGTTTTTAAAAAAGTCCCATCAACATTTTTTCATGCCAGCCTGTGTTTCTATATTTCAAAATACTACTGGCTAAAAAAGACCAAAATATAAAGAAAACACTCTTGTGTACAGCTGAATTTGCATTAGTTAGCATTTTAAAATACATTGTTGTTGAATGGATACTTCAGAGAAGAATAAGAATTATTGACAACACTTTCTTTCATTTATTATATAGCGCCTTTTGTCTCAAAGAATTTCAAGGTGGAAGCGACGCTTCTACTCGCAGCGCTGTGGACCTGGGTTCAATTCTGGACCCAGGGTGCTGTCTGTGTGGAGTCTGTATGTTCTCCCTGTATTGGCACGGGTTTCCTCCCACAGTCCAAAGACATGCTGGTAGGTTCCTGAGCCCCTGGGAGATTTAGCGCTGGTGAGAGTGTGTGAGCGTCTGTGTGCGTCACGTCTGGGGTGTACTCTGCCTTGCTTCCCCTGCTTGCAGAGATCGGCTCCCCCACCATCCTGTATTGGATAAAGCCATTATTGGATTGGATACTGTAGTGAGGAAGGAATGGTTAACGGGGGTGTGTGTGTGTGTGATCTGATCACGGTGAGGGGTAGGGAGCAAGGGAGGGTAGCAGCAGCAGCTTGCAGTCCATGAGATAGAGACGGAAAAAGAAAGAACATTTAAAAAACATGGACAATGCTAAAAGTATTATTGATGATTGGATGAATAAGTTTTAAAATAGGAATAATTCAACACAAATATAGCATACATTTAAAAAATGCAGGACCCTAAACATTGGAGGACATTTGTACATTTCAGTACCCAATACTGGACTGTTCCATAAAACAGATCCGTTGTAAATAGTCAAACTGCTATGGGTGCCCCCCCTGGCATGATTGCAGTGGGGGTTACTCACAGTTTGCAGTGAAAAGGCGTGAGGTGGTACGCCGAGGTCACCACGCGTGTGTGACAGCAGAGCGAGGCCGGAGTGTTAAACCGAGCCCGGGTGGAAGTTGCTTTTCATGGGCAGAAAGTATTTCATAAGGTTTATCAACACTTGTGTGTTCTCCTCGGTTTTTTTTCTGTTCTGTGCTGTCAGTGGTTCCGCTTTCTGATTTTCTGAATGTACTATCCTTCCTTTCCTTTGTTTCTGATAGTGTTTGTAATGCACCTTGCTTTCTGTACTGGGCAATGTCATAGTAAATGTGGGATGAAAGTTGCATTGAGGGTGGAAATACTGCCTGCTCTGTCAAGAGGGTATGTATTAATTTGAGCTTCCCTTGTATGGTAGGCTGCATCCAATATTCAAATAGTAGAACATAATGTACTAAATATGATAAAGCTGTGTTCTTTCATCCATACAGAACATTTTCTGATCAGTTTAAAATGTCGCTGTATTATTTTTTTAAAAATACTCCCAAATCTTTTGAGTTTTTCAAGATTTGAATCTGTAATTGCTGCCCAGATAATGAAAGCCTGCTAACCAGAGCAAGGTATCCGGCCCGTCTAGCTTGCGTTCTGCCCAGTGAGGTGATAGTAGTTAATTTCTTGCGTGAAGCCATGCTTCTCACTCGTTCTGTCACACCTGAAGTTAAATGTTTCCAAATACACAGAACGTGGTATGATTGTAATGATCTGGAATTTACATCATGAAATCCGATTCTTCTGTCTGCTCTGCTAAGAGAATAGCAGCCTATTCTGTCCACACATCTTTCAATTATGATATAGCGCCTTTTGTCTCAAAGAATTTCAAGGTGGAAAGCGATGCTTCCTCTCGCAGTGCTGTGGACCTGGGTTCAAATGCCAAATGCCACATGGACTGTAAAAAAAAAAAAAAAGAAAATGTGGAATTAAGCCTTTTATTTCCCCAGCACCAGGTGCAGTGTACTGCGGTGCGGTCCTGCAATTACCTCTTCATGCAGCAGCTAGACCCCACAGCCTTTTGTCTGTTAAGGCTTAAGGACTCATTAACTTTTGGAAATGTTCAAGCCAGCCTGCTTTCCTGAATCAATGGGAGATCAGGCACTGAGGAATGAGGGCTTTCTGCTGAGGGGGGTGCTTTACACCTTTAGAAGCTGAAATAAGTTGGGGGGGGGAGGAATGGATTAAAAAAAAACTTATTTTAAGACTTCCTAATTTTTTTGAGGTAAAAATGAATAAGACACTGTGGGAAATATAACTTATTTATGGTAAACACCATATGTTATTTACCTTATTTGGCAACATATTATGTACTCATTTGGCAACCACCAATCAGATACTGAATCGTTTGAAGAAATATGCTTCTCTTCCTAGCCATATTTTGAACCTAATGAAGATGTTTAAGATTTAGTAAAGACATAGACAGTTACTAGTCACGTGTACAACTCCTCTCTACCTTTTAGCACATGAACCAATGTGTTTTGTGTTTTTTCCATCTTGTCTATTTCTGCAAGGGAATAACGCGGACTTCCAGCCTCATTGGCTGCAGTTAATGGGAGGCCCCAGTGCTCTCAGGGTGGGGTCTGCTCTCTTGTTAAGGTGATATCGTTTCAGCCGACGCAGCCGACTGCCCATTCAGGGCTGTACACCGAGTGCCCTAGTCCCCAACACCCAGCATCATAAACCTGAGTAATCCACTGTGTGTTCCTCCTCCCTGTTACCCAGGAAGATGAAAATGGTGGATATTGTAGCACAGAAAATGCCATCAGAGAGCGATGTTCACGTGGCCAGGAGCTTTCTCACGAAGATTTTGCGAAGCTCCATGAGGTATGGTATCGGCATAACCAGATCTCTGCCACACCAACCCCACCCCTCGGCTCATATCCGCAGTCATATCTGTCACCCCATGCTCTCTGCTGCGTAGTGATATCATGCTCCCCATCGTACCAGTCATGTGCATCCCATACCTTGTGGTAGTGCCTCGTTCATGTCTCAGTGTTCCTGGCTTCGTACTCAATGTGAATTGTTCAGTGTGTTGCCAGTGCTGACTATGCCTTTTTCTCCCATTTTCTCCTAGGCTTCCAGGTTTTTTTTGCCTTTCCAAAGTTAAACGATCACTGCAGAGATAAAAGTAACAGACCCATTCCATGTTAGACTAGTTTCCTTCAGAATGCTTGGAAACACCAGGGTGTTTAGTGCTCCACAGAAAAAACAAAAGCCATCTCTCTTCTGAGACTCAAACGCAAATTGTTTTGAATACTTGCTTCCCTGATGGGCAGTGTGTCACCAACGGGGGTAAAGAGAAAACTTTGTAGTGGAAATCAATGTTTGTTTGTTTTTTATTTTACTCTGCGGCCTACAGTGACCAACATAAATGGAAGAGATTTGTTCCAGTTAATTGCAGTTAATTCTTCTGAACCTGTGGAGATTTCAACGTGATCTATTTTTTAAGGCCATGTCTGAAAAAAATGGTACTGGCTTTCTGTTCTTCATTTGAATTAATGTTTTTTGTATGTTTTTTTTTTCTATTCAAACATGCATAACAGAAAGAGTCGCTTCAAAGGGTAGGTTTTCTGTGTTCTCTGTTTGCATTTCTGCATTCTTAGCTCCAATCATATGCTTTAAAGACGTCTTAAGATGGTCAGTGTTTGTGTGATGGTGTACATGTGTGCTTGTATATTAACAATACTAATGTTCTGGAACTTGGATATTATCTAGAGATTTGAAAATATATACTGATCTACAAAACACTCAAGTATGATGGATTGAATAACATATTTTAAACACAGATATTGAAATGATAAAATGTCAAAGTCAGTGTCAGGAAGGAGGTCCTAAAGTATTAATTCAGTTACAGTATCATAGACGCACAGACCTGATCAGCCTTTGGATAGACTCCTTTTGGAAGGTCTGTTTTCTTGAAACCATATGATTGTAATCCTAGTACTATGTGGTCTTGCATTGTCCTGGTTGAAAATGAACACTTTTGAAGCAGCCGGCAGGAACAGAGAAACTCTCTGCTCAGTTTAAGCAGTAATGTGGCTCTCAATCTGCAAAAAAGTTTCACTGCCAACTAGTGGGTTGAACAAGGCAACAGGTACAACAAAGTACCATCTGTTCACCATTACATCTCCAGATGTGGTTTTCTGTCACGTCTGGGCAAATACTATATGAATAAAACAGCAACATTTTATTCCTGTAATTTTATAAGCATGCAGGTAATTTTCACACCAATGTTGAACTCCAGTCATTGCTGCTGAAGTTTGAATATTATACTCCTGTGGATCAGAAGATGTGAGAGTCCTGGGCTTGTGTGTAGAGTTCCAGGATGTGATCTCTCTGTTAGAGCCATTTTCCTGATTGCTATAACGTAATCTGCGGAACATCTCATTCTGCAGGCATCTTATCTCATGCACATCATATCCAATAGAGCCGATGGCAATGTTCATTACTCACATGAGGCCTGGTCATAACTTTCACTGTTCTAATTTTAATTAAATTAATTTCTTCTTGAATAGCTGTACATCCTTCACTCATTCTAGCAGTTTTAGCTCAACTAAAATATCCAACATTGGTGTTTTGGTGAAATCGCATGACTTGAGCTCTCTATTTTGTTATCTCAAAGAACAATCTTATTCGATCAGTAAGCGTAATTGCTCGGTACTTAAAATATAAAAAACACTATACTTTCATACCTTGTTGGGAACGTAAGACTTGGTGAAAATGCAGCAGTATATCTCTGTATATAAAGTATATGCTTTTAAGAAGAAGCATTATGCATTAGCAATGTATGTACATAATTATGTTTTACAGAATTAAAACAAGTTAAGGGAATTGTATTTATTATTGCTGAGACAACAGGTTATATTCAACAGTAAGACAAGTAAAATGATTGTGTAATTGTTTTCCATAAATTCGTTAGGTGTGAAGGTGGTAGAGTGGAGCTGGGCCGCTTGCCGCGCTGGGGCCATGTGCTCTATTCTGGACCTGGGGTGCTGTCTGTGTGGAGTTTGTACTCTCCCCATGTCCACATGGGAGTCCTCCAGGTGTTCTGGTTTCCACCTACAGTCCAAAAGCATGCTGATAAAACTGGCCCTGGCTGTGAGTGTCTGTGTCTGTACGGCATACCTGCCCTGTGATGGTCCTGTCCAGGGACTGGCTCGCACCCATTGCTTGCTGGGATAGGCTCCAGCTCCCCCACAAACACACACTGGGTTAGAAAATGGATGGATGTTAGCTGTGATGCTACAGAAGTGGCCAAAATGTAGTCAGTCCCAATGATGTGGCCCTCAGATGAGCTACGTAAAAATATACCTTTCATCATCGCCTCCTGTCAAGACAGCAACCTCTAGAGCAACAGTGTTCGTGCTGTGGCACACAGAGCAGTTTCACTGCGGGGTACAGGCAAGGCTTGGCCAGTGTGTACAGGCAGCCATGGTGTGAAGGAAATGTGCTCAAGGTGAATGCAGGTAGAGAACAGAAACTGAGGGTCCACACACAACCATAGTTCTGTCTGAAAAAGCCAGCTTTGGTGACTGTGGGTAACTAAATATTCTTTTTTTGTTGTTATGCTGGTGTTGTTTGTTTTGTTTCAGTTTTATAATGCGCAGGCCTGGATCCTCCCAGCATCGCCAATTGTATTCAAGTCTGGCACTCAGCTTTAACAGTGATTGCAGCAAATACTTTGCTGACTGGGGCGCATTGAAGAGAACTGATGTGCGATTATCTGGCACACAATACAAAATGTTTTGGGGAATTAATACAATCATCCTCTAGGACATGGAATCACAAAGAGGAAATGTGACCTACTGTATTGGAGAAACCTCTCTAATACCACATCACTTCGTTATTAGCTATATTCTTCATTTTTCTGACATGCTGTCCACTTCTCTTCATTACTAAAGCATGCTGATGACAAAACAGGCAATCAAATTATAGATTTGAATAAATAACTTTTCACCAGCAAGGTTAAACACTATATTAAGACTGTATTTTGTGCTGATGTCTTTCTTGAGTGAAAATTTGAATTGTGGTCTATTCATATCTTTGGGTGTTTTTGAAAAGGATCGCTGCGATTGTTAAATGTTTACAAGGATTGCAGGGAGGTTTACACATTTACGTACGTGACTGCAGGCCAGTCGCACTGCAGGTTATCTTTCGGTCTCTCGATAATCATGTGCTACTTGTTGTCTCTTTCTAGGAGGAATGAACCGGTAAGCAGGCCCCACTCCTGGCACTCGACCAAGTTCACAGAGAACCAATCAGAAGCTGCAAAAACACAATTAACACCCACAACTGTCTGGCACACGAGATACGATGCAAGGTGAGTTGGCCTGCGTTTCCCAGCAATGAGTGTGGCCATGTCACCTGGGCAGTCCCCAGCACCTGCACTGTCTTCCCCTTCTGATATTTTAATGTGGAATTTTAAAGGTAGTGAAGGGTAAAAGTTGCAGCTTGTAAATTAAGTCCTTTTTTTTTCATTTAAAATAATTTGTGAGTTTTCTTCTAATGTGTTACGAATGAGATGTGAAATGATGACTTGTGTCAAAATGATTTTTGCCATGTCTTCTGACTTGGTAGCTTAAATTTGTGTGCCAGGTATCAATGTCAAAGAATAGGAATGTAATTCCACCATTTATTCAACATTGTTTAACGGACTCATTCATCTAAGAATTTTTACAGTGTGAGTAAGGCTGCATTTTAACGATTCTTGGGCTTCACTGGTAATGACTTGTTGAATAAAGATACTTCTTCTATTCCTTGGTCACTTTTGCTAGAATTCCCATTGCCATTGCCTCTGTTACTTGTATGTCGGGAATCACCTATATATATATTTTTTTCTCCTAATATTAGTTTATTCCCTGGCTAAGAATGCTGTTTCCAACCTGGGAAGAAGACGATCTTACAGGTATCTCCTTTTGACTGACCGCTTCTCTTTAACGCTGTCTGTATGTGCTTTTTAGCTCATCTTCACATGACCTCACCGGCTCATGGGATCAGCCGAACCTTCGGCGTGCGTCAGATCAGTTCAGCTCCCTTGGCAGCATGGACAGCCTAGAGCACTCCTCCCACCCCTACCCGCCCGGCCGCCTGTCCCCGGCCAAGTCCAACACCAGCATCGACCACCTGGGGGGCAGCGGCCATGGCAACAAGAGAGATTCGGCCTACAGCTCCTTCTCCACCAGCTCCAGCACCCCGGACTACACCCTGTCCAAGAGCAACGCCGCCTCCACGGAGAACATGCTGCACAAGGTGGGCCAGTGGGACGCGGGCAGGCACAGCAATGGGAGGCACAGCCAGAGCCTGAGCGATGACCGGCAGGGGTATCTGCAGCTGCCCGCCGGGACTGGAGGCAGGGAGAGCCCCCGGACGGACGAGCAGCCCGGGTCCCGGTATTCCAGCTCGGGGAGGTCCAGCTTCGGCCCCGTGTGGCACATCCCCGAGAAGAAGAAGCGCAGCCCCTCGCCTCCCCCGCCTCCTCCGCCGGTGCGCAGTGACAGCTTTGCGGCAACTAAAGTTCACGAGAAGGGACTGGCGGTCCCTTACTCGGAGACAGCCGAGACACCCTCTTACCCTCATAACCTGCAGAAGCCTCAGGCCAGATCGGGGGACTGGGTGTCTGGTGAACTGAGTGAAAACCAACAGAAAGCCTACCGTGCCAATGAAAGAGGACACGAGGCCAGGCGGAATTATAACCCCTCTCCCAAGAACGAAACCCTCCCTCCTTACATTTCACTGGACAGTTACAACAACAACCAGTTGAATGCAAACAAGTCATTCTCCTTGTCAAGCACAGACATTCGGGCAGGGCAAAATCCGTACAACTATGTGCCCTACCACCAACGCCAGTACAGCGATGAAAGCGCCTTGTATCAGCAACCTCGATCAACCTCTGTACCAAAGCAGCAGAATGTAGGCAACTACTACAGCAGCATGCAAGAGCTGCCTACTGACAGCTTCAGTCAGCACTATAATCAGGCTCAGGTGAGGACTTCTAGTACTTCCTTATCCAGTCCTCCTATGGATCAAAATATGGAGGGCACTGGGCATAGTCGATATTACTGCATTACAGCCAGGCAGCCTGCCCAGACTGTTTCTCAGGCATCGCTGGTGAAGGTGGAGGGCTGGAAAGGCAGCACAGGGATCGAGTCAGCTGCCGTGTTAAGTGAAAAGAGTTTTTCAGGTGCTCAAAAGGTCAGCAAGGCCAAGTGCCTACTACCTCAACAGCAGCAACCTCATCCCGATATCAAGGACAGTAATGGGTATTATAAACAAGAGAATGTTCATGACAGGTCAATTTCAGCTTCTGTACAAGACACCCCAGCAGTGAAATCTAATGTTGAGGATAGAGGAGGGCACAAGAGGAACAATGTATATAATATGGAAATTAATTACATGAGCTATCCTCCCAACAAGCATGATGACCTGAAGAAGTATGGGGGCATCCAGCAAACAGACCAACAGAAAGAACTATGGTTGACTGAAGGGGAAGAGAAGATCAGTCCGCAGAAAACTCCGATGCTTCACTCTCTGGCTCAAGAGAGCCTGAGTACAGCTGGCCACCCTTCAGAACCTCAGAGCGGCTGTGCCCGGCAAGAGGCTGTCGACCCTCTTACCGCGAAACAGGTGAGGCGTAGTGACCGCTACGCCACCACTTTACGCAATGAAATCCAGATGAAACGAGCTCAGCTGCAGAAGAGCAAAAGCTCCGCCACCCTGACGGGTCCCAGCGAAGCCGAAGAAGACGCAGAGGTCTGGAAGGGCGAGTCGACGGAGAGCTCCACCTCGTCCTCTGATGGCTCCTTCTCCAGCACCTACAAAGATCACCTGAAAGAAGCTCAGGCCAGAGTCCTCAGAGCTACATCTTTCAAGAGGAGAGATCTGGAACCTGTGCTACTTGAACTTCCGGTACCGGATGCCTTGCCCACCTACTCGTCCTCTGCTCTTGCACGTAAAGACGTCAACCCCGCGCTCAGCTCCTCCGAGGCCCCACGGAGCAGAGCTAGCTCTGCCACGGGAAGCGGTGCTGCCCAGGTATCCCGAATCGGAGGCAGAAAGCGCTTCACGGCAGAGCAAAAGGTAAGATCGTACTCGGAGCCAGATAAGATAAACGAGGTAGGAGTGACAAAGACTCATCCTTATCCGGACAAGGCCACGTCGTTCGCGGATCGCTGCAAGTTCTTTGAGGGCACGTCCAAGTCTGCCTTCCCTAAACCGCTCTCGAGACCAGCGCTGCAGAGCTCCTGCGAAGAACACGGCGAAGGGAGGCTCTCCAGGAAGTTGCACCACGGCGAGACGGAGGAGTCGTGGCACGAGCAGAGGTCACGCGCTGCTTCGTTGGGCTATGGCTGCTCATTGGGTGCTCTGGAGGAGGATCAGGGTGGCTATAATGTCCGTGCAAGGGCCACAGAAAGGTATATAATGCTGGAACAGCAGCGATTAGGCACTTTTGCAGAGTATGAAGCCACGTGGAATGAGCAGAGGAAGCTCTCGGAAGCGAGACCTTCGGGGAGGTACCACTCAGCCGACAACATCCTGGATTCAGGGATGGAAGAGAAAATTTCTTATATCCATGAGAGGTCCAGATCGTCTCCATCGGCCGATTTCCACGGACAGGTCAGAGCACACAAAATGTTTGTATCCTCATGTCAAATGCTTGTTCAATCATTATAAAAAGGACAAAGTCAGGGAGGATAAAAGCATACAGTTATTTGAAATATTTAGAACTTTTTGCTTTTCCAAAAGCTAAGATTGTGCGAGACAGTTTTCTGACTCAGCTATCAGGAAATGGTTCTATTTTCTGCTTTGTGAATTAAAAGTCTGATCCGTTCCTCTGTTCTGATTTATTTGTAAGACGTTGCAGATAAAATAAATTAATATACCGGCTTTGAAGCCAAAGAGAAAAAGCTTCCATTAATCTGAAACACAGCTGTTTTAGTCTGGTATTTCCATGTATAACTTGCCACAACTAACCATTCTTTTTCCAAAGCATTTTTTATGAGCAGCTGTGCTTTTCCCTAGTATAACTTATCAAAATCAAGCCGATGTCCATGTTTGCTCAGCTTCTTATTTTGTACCATATTTGTAAATTTGCAGTAGATCTTTAATCAAAACAACAAAGAATGATGATAATTACCCCAGCTGTCACAGAAAATACCAGGTTGGGCACAATTTGGCAGTATTTCTTCTGCTACCCTTGAATTAGTCATCTGCGGTTAGGGAAGCTTTCAAGGAAAAAAAATGAAGCTTGGAAGGACAGATGAAATCCCTAAATTCAAATCTGTAAACATGTTTGTATTAAAGTAGTATCCCAAAAATTTTCCCTATGTGCCTTTCAAAACTATTTAAATTTGGGAAGAACAATATAGTTGGATGATTTATTTTGGAAACCCAGCAGAATGCAAGTGAAATAAATAAAAAACAAAATAATAAAATGCATTTTTAGAGTGTTGGTGAAGACTAGACAATGAATATCTGGTTGAACACTCAGTATTGCTGTGTTTATTACAATAAAACTGGTCACACAGCGTTGTAGTAACATGGAAATGGTCTACACACCCTCAGCATCTAAATACAAGTTCTTGTTTGAATTCAATACTTTATAATAATTTCACATATGAACCCTTTGAAAACTTATGTACAACATTAAGTAAAATGCTTTATGAGTCATTAAAAACTAAAATAACATTTGTAACATTTTTAGTAGCTTTTGGTAAACTTCACTTAATGTTGTATTTGTATTTTTTAACAAACTATTGTTAAACTATTATTAATTCATACAATAAATTGCAGAGCTTATCTGTGTAGCTTTTACAGGATCCAATCAATTATAGTCAGTAGTGACATTTTAAACCATGTTTAGACAGGCAGGATATGTGAGTAATAGAAATTTAAAGAAACATAGAGGCTTAGTCAAACATTAATCCAAGCTAATTCAGACACACCCAGAGATTGGGGGAAAAAAAGGAAGAGGTTTTATGAGCTGAGTACTAACTTGAAAATGTCTTAACTTTTGGTAAGTCTAGAGGCAAAATAGGACCGTGATGAGATTTACATCTCGGTCCAGCCGACCAAGCCCTCAAATAGAAGTTTTGATAATTACAGATTTTCTTTCGGTTGGAAACTCTTCTAGTCTGTCATTAGAAAGTGTTCTGTTCTAAATGCTTTTCAGAATGTCCCTGTGCAAGGAAGGAAGAAGGAGGATTATTCTCAGAGACAGCAGAACCCGTCTGGCTGTAAAAACTCTGACGCCGAACCTCCTTCTACAAGGTAAAGCTCTTTTTGATCAACTGACGTTGCGTTAAGGTTGTTTGAAGCTTCTGCTTCGTAAGAGAGGTGAATGCTTACTGTTTGCAGCTTGTATCTCTGCAGTTCGTGCTGTGCTAATACCTGAATGTGGTGGGGTTACACAGCTTAGGCTACGTATTTACAGTTGGTTAACTCCAGAAGTGGTGGCTCCAGCGTTTTTGCATAAGGAGCACAGGCTGTGGCATTAAGATTTTAAGCATGTTTGTATACCTTATTTAAAATAATTCCTAATGTTAATTTTAAATAGAATAATAATGTAGGGATGATTACTTTTTAGAAACATGGTCTGGCTGTGCTGTTATCAGTGGAATCCTTCCTTTGTGCTGTTTGTGTTGTTAATGCACCGTTCAGTGTGCTGTGATCATGAAATGCCTCTGCGTATGTAGAAAATGCGAAAGGGGATGATTCATGTATTTATTTGAGTACAGTGTGGTTAAATGCACTGTAGCTTAAAAGGTAAGTTCTAAAAGAAGGTGATTTTTTTTGTGTTGGTTTTCATTTTGTGAGGAAACCTTTATGACGACTGCCAGCCAGAGAACAAAACGCCTACACTGGCACTTTGTACTTGCCTGGACGAAACAGCACATTCTTTATTGTCCAGCCGCTCATAACAGCCCTAAGGCTCAGGCCCAGTTGTAAAAAGAAAGCCATCTTTGATCTGCTCTTTCTCTCACAGAAAAAAAAGTACATTTAATGGGTTAAAGCCATACAGCGACAGCTGTGCCTGTACACAGAGGAAGTACAGTAACTAATACTGTTTAGGAGGGCAAACCAATGAGTGTATAATTGACTGAAATGCACCAGGGAGAGAGCTCCTAACTTAATTAGTGCTGAATTTTACAGTGTGAGGTTTTTAACTTATTTCTTTTAACTTGTATTTTAACTTATCTTGGGGGTTTCAGAGGGTAAAGAGCATCATTTATATTGTTATAAGCAGTCCTTTAGATCTAGGAGTGGTTTAGTGTAAGTGTCTTTGCAGTAGTATTAATGAAAAAAAACTCTAGCCTTCAAGTATTTGCCTGGAAGTCGAATTCTTATTATTTTGGGAGGTTTTGACTTTGAAATAAGGTATCCTAGTTTAGCTAGGTTACATAGGTGTGACAGGGAGAGGCTACCTAAAAATCCATGAATTGCAAAACAGGAATACCTTGCATTTTTCTTTAACTTTGGTCGTGTTTTTCTGTTTGTGTTTAAAATAAAGTAGGAATTGTGGTTGTGGGAGCTTGCCTTAGTGTCTCCCTCTCCTCCACCACAGCTGATATTTCAGCTATGCCGATGGCTACAATAACAATGTTTTTTTTTCCCCCGAATCCTCAATGAGCACATTTAGTTTTAAGCGATTTTGCAGATATGGCAGATCTGCTATTATATACTTGTTCGAGGAATGCGGAAAAAAATGCTGTTGCATCTAAGGGGCAAAAAAGGGCCTTTTTGTCCTCGGCACTGGTTGAATTATGCATCCGGTCTGCTGGTATCCAAGGCTCTTGTCCCAGGAATGCGCTCCCATGCTCCTGCTCTCTCCTTTACCCTGAATCGGGCTGGGCGTGCAGAAAGTTTCTTTAATTGTCAGTTGATGTCAGATTTGCTAGGATCCTAAACTTTAGTAAGTTAAGAGCTGTAAAAGTATACTTTAATGTTTATTGTAATTACATAATGTAATTTTGCACCTGTGACTGTGCTACATTGTGGTTCATTGGTGACCTGACAGGATATAAACATCATTCATCACTCATCAGGTCAGGCTAAAGTGCAGGGCTTAGTTCCCATTTGAGTAATACAAGTGTTTTTGTACAACATTACTGTTGACAGATGACTCAGTTTACAAACCCTTCGATCATTTTTTTCTCAAATCAAAGGGGCAGTGCTCCGATGACTGTTGTGTAGTGTTGACAAAATGGAGAAAGGCACACATTTGCAGGAGTGATGGAGTTCAAGGTTGTGGCTTCATAATAAAAACCAACGTGCACCATGATCCACTAAAACCCTTCACCCTGAGCTCATGGAATATTGTGACAGTGGAGTTCAACGTTGTCTTAATTTTCTTTAGTTCTAAAGAGCGCTTTAATTGTGAATGTGTGAACAGTTATGTTTATGCACAATTTCCATTTGACAGAGTGCACTGTTCACTTTTTTCACTATTTTACTGTGTCGCCTGTTGCAGTAGATTTCAGAGCATGCAGTGTGATTTTGAGAGTGGATAAGTTCAACATTTGAACTTAAGTCTTAATTTAACGTCAACATTGACTTAAATTTGCAGCTTATTTAACAAGTTAATGTGCATTAAAATTAAATGTGCTTACTGGACAGCCGTCTTAAACAGAGCTAAATGCACAATAAGCATTTTTTGGCAATTTAATTTTACTCTACTGGGAAAAGGGCTTTTATTTTTCACGTCAATGGCAGAGTGTTTTTCCCCTAAAATACTGGAAACACACCTGTAGCTCATTCAGGGGCAGTGGGGGCTTGAAAAGGGGCTCATAATCCAGGTGATTTTTTTGTGGTTGTAAACTATACCGGAGGAGAATCACTGCAAATCCTTTAGATTCCGGATTCCACTGCTGTCTGGGTATCACTTGTGTTTGTCCTGCTTGTGGAACCGCTGTCTAGAATCTGGGCCATGCAGGAGTTGCAGCTTTGCCAGGTGTTTGCTTTGTGGGCTGGGAGAGACGGGCCCGCCTTCTGTGTAGAAAGAAGAAACTGGTGTGCAGCTCGGGGCCTTTGGCCCCAGCAGTGGTGTGGGCTGGTGAGGAGACCAACCAGCCTTTAGTTTAAATCTTATCTGGTGACGATTATGCAGTGACGATTCATTTCTGCATGTCAGTGAAATAAAAAATGATCGATAGCTTTAAAATACTAATGACTGTACAAGACGCAATGCAAAGGCCACTGTGTGCTATTATAATATACTTACAGGCTATAATAATATACTTACTCTTCAAAGCTTGAAAACCTTGTTGTTTCTGAACATTGCTTAGTTGACACACTGTCAGCCCTAAAAGAGCTTTTCTGGGCAGGGCTGTGCAAAAAAAGAGGTCACCATGTGCCACAAGGGCAGAGCAGAAACTTGTGGCGCCTCTATAGAAAACAGGACCCCCATAACAAAGTGGTGTCACGGCCTTTCCCCAGTCTGCATTTGTGCAGCAGAATGGCATGTCGAGCGCTCGTCTTTCTTGAAGTGTGCCGTATTTTTTGTTTTTGTTGTGCCATTAAAAATTTGAGCCCATGTGCGCCAGTGAAAAGATACACGTTGAAAGACAAGGCTACATTGTTAGTCTTCTCATGCCGTTATTACCTCGAATCACCGAGATACTGTCTGGGACTACAGTCCTGTTACCAATGGAAACGCTTCCTGCTTGACAGGTTTCAGAGCTCTCGCATGCAAATGTTTCCTAAGCCCACCTACAGGGGTACACAAATAAGTCCCTGCCTACTGTTGGAAACTACTGAGTGTTTTATACCTTAAGTATGACTTTTCCACTGTCGCTGTACAAATAAAGACCATCGGTACTGGCAAGTAGCATGGCAGTTCATTGTATATTTTTTGGATTAAAATACAACACGTAATGAGCAATATACAATGTGTAGGTCTAGATATGGTTTGAAGTATAGTTCATTTAAGTCGATAAACTTCTATGATTCATACAAAATGTATACATTCTCAGTTCGTGCTTTCTTCTGGAGATGGAGAGCGGATTTCCTTCGCTTCCTTCTTCAGTGTTTTTTAACTAGTGACAAACTTAAGAAACTATACTAAACTAAACAATAGCAAAATGTTATTATTGTATGAGACAAAACAAGGGATATACCAGTTTGTAGGAATAATGTTTTCAGCAAACAAGCTTCCATTCCAAAAAGTACAAATTGACATTCACAATCTTTTATATATAATAATTTTCGTATTCATTTTCGTTTATTTTTCACATACAGTTGGCTGTTTTAAGCAAGATTTAGGAGACGATTTCTTTTAAGTACAGAACACTTTAATGTACTGTACAATTTAAAAACCGTCAAGTGTGAGCTGCAAAGGAACCCTGTTAATTGCACACAAACGTTTTGGCCATTTCTTGCGTGTTTTTCCATCTTTGTTTCTATTTTTCTGTGTGGAATTAGAGTCAATTTTCACATTTGATATTACTGTATTGGTGATTTTCACTGTCAGTACAAACATCAAAATAAGCGCTAGGCACGGGGGAATTTCTTTAGTTCAGTCGTTAATCAATACATCAGAATATAATATTGATTTAAGCATGTTTTGTATCATAAGCAGAGGTCTTGTTTTCTGTGTGTATAAGGCTTCTGGGAAAAACACATGGCACTATTTAGTGAGATGCTTTTTTCTGAATTTGTGTACAAAATCCTGAAATTCTATCTGGCAGCTGGTAATGGCAAGAAATAATGTGAACCAGGTTTTTTGAATCATTTTAATATATTGATACTTTTGATGAAGTTTGGAGTATTGTGTGCCGTAACTCCTTGAGTGAGTATGTGGTTTGTATTGATTAGTTTCAAAGACACAGTAGATATGCATGAGGGGACAGCTCATTTTCAGTTTCATTAAAAAAAAATCTTGAGTGATTTAGTAGTTTTAAAAAGCTGCCCGTTTTCCATCAACCTTGCCGTCATCTGAATCGCCATACTGATGCACATTTAATTTCTCCGAGAAATGAACAACTACTTTGCTGTGCATCTCTTTCTGTGCAAGTCACGGGTAATGCTTTTCAAGCACCACAATTATAAAATGAACTCTTTCAAGTGAGATGAATGCGGTATAAATCCATATAAATCAGGGTTCTGCTACCCTTTCACAAATGTCTTAAGTTGTGTACAGTTTGATTTACATTCTTTTTTTCTTGTCTGATAATTTCCAGATGTAACCGTCTTTACCTGCTGCTGTACGTAGTTGGGTTTGGGTTTTATTTCTGGTGTGAGCAGATATTGTGATTAGAACAGCAAGGGTTGTGTGACAATTGTGTCTTTGCATAAACCTGATTTTCTTTGCAAAACAAATGTGCAAAATAACCAAAAATCAATTTAAAAAAAATGTCTTGATAAAATTGAAGTATTTTTCTTGCAAAAACAGTAACTAAAGCTGTGTGCCAGGAAAAATGCTTGCAAAATTGTCTTTCATTGATCAGTATCTATGCATTTCATGCAAATGGAAGTATGCATGAGCTGTGAGCAGTGGCTAGCCATATAGGTATGAATGACCCGCCTGCTTTAAAGTTATGCTGTAGTTTAAATTAGTGTGTATTTTAAAATTGTTGGTGCTTTCTAATGCTTATAGGATGATGTTTGCTTTTAGAGTCTTAAGTAGGTAAAGTAAGTCTTTGTGGTATAACATCCAACATATTTGATGAAGCTTTTGACTCTTTTGTGAATTTCTGGTGTAAACAGCCCTGTGCTTTGAAGGTTCTTCTCTTCAGCACCCAGGAATAATGAAGGAATAACTCTTAGACTCATTGATTCACATTTGACACTTTGCAGGTCTTTGCCATTGGGCGCTTCTGGTGCTTGAAGCTTTCTTTCACTCCACTGTTTTAAACAGTAAGACCTGATGACAGTCCAATCTACTAAGCATGCTGCATGCGTTCCCTCCCTGCCGCTTGTCTGAATCACTCTAGAAACCCTTCTCAAGGCTCTACCGTTCACCTTCTGTGTGATCCTGCTGAAGGAGAATTGAGCTGCGCTCATCTTTGACATCGTCCTCGGTAAAGCCATCTTACAATCGGAACCTGCAATCCAGTTTGGGTTCGGTTTTCATGTTGTGGTTCAGGGAGATTTCTCATTTATTGTGACATTTTGCACTTATCTCTGTTCAAGTCCCTAAAAGGAAAATTGGAACTTGGAGGAATGTCTTTATCTGCATTAAAGTGCAGCATGGGCAGCTGTAATATAGGACCCTTCATATTTCTCTGTGGGTACATCCTGCTCTCGCAGAGAAAGGAAGATGTAATAACCATCCAACACACAAGACTACAGGCTGTTAAGCAGTGGTTGTGACACCGATATGAGCTGTGGGCTGCTGGTAGTGGACAAAAACCTAGAAACACTAATTTAAAGTCACGTAATAAGGCATTGGGTTTCATAATTGGGTTGTTTTTAGGCTTTCTTCCAGAATATCCCATAAATGATCGATTGGGTCCAGATCAGGTGACAGAGAAGGCGGTGGCACATGGACAACACCAGTGACAAATCCATCACTCTAGCGGGTGACCACAGGTGCTCCTTAGAGGGGGACAGTGTCATCCTGGAAGACACCCCTCCTGACAGGAAAGAACTGCTGCAACATGGGGGGGAGATGATCACTCAGTACTATTAATTAATGAATAGCATTGATCTGGCCTTCTAAGTGAATGAGAGCGCCCAAACCATGCCAGAAAAATGAGCCCCACATCATTACCCCCACAGAAAGTGCCCCACAGAACCCTGCACTGTTGGAACCAAGCATTCCGGGTTATAGAGTTCTCCGGGCTAGCACTTTGAGCATCAGTCCATTTATCAAAAACATGTTAAAGGATGTTTTATCTGACCTTATCCCATTTCTCTACTGCTTGCTAGTCTGTTGCCTGTGTACTTTGGACCACCATACTCACAAACGTGCGCTGCTAGGTATGATGAACAGTTTGCACTGCAACCAGACTGTGATATCCAACTCTGTGGAGTTCTCAGCAGACCAGTTTTGATGCTGTTTGCACCCCAGATAGAGCTTGCAGTAAATTGATCTTCCATTGCTCGCATCTTTTACCTAACGCTTCGAATTAGTGCACTGGAGCCCCCTATTGCCCTTCTGCTGATCTGATCTCTTTCCCACCAACATCTTAGACACTGTTGCTTGTGCAACATGGGCAGGTTGAGCTGTATTGGCCACCAACGTTCCTCCCAACTTGCCCTGCAACCACCCCCTCTTTCAAAGTCGCTGAGGTCCCCTCTTGCAGCCGTAGTCATTATTATAGGCAGCATTTTTATACATGACCCTTCACATGCTGGAATGTTATTTGCTTAAAGTCCTCGCCTGGGTGGAAGCCTTTGCGTTCAATATGCTTGGTGTCCCTCATTCATCCCAGCATCTCCGTTTTTTTTTTTGTCCACCACCTGTAGATTGAGACATCAGACTTGTTTGACCTGTGTGCCAAATCGGAGTCACACCCATCCTTCCATTGGAGAGATGGCCAGAAGTGTAACACCTGCTTATTAAGTGACTGCTTTTAGCTCAACTGCCTTTTCAGATTCATCTCATAAAGTGCCGATGAAGTGATTTGGCGGAAAGGGCAAAAATTCGATCAAGGCTTCCCACAAGAATAAAGTCTGGGATGGCCGATCTGTCTGAAGCCCTCCTCCAGTTGATGGCCTAGATTATTTTCTAAATCTGAACAGCGGACTTCTGCTAGAGACTGGTCTGCCTTATCTTGGCTGTTCCACTTTAGCCACTTATTCTCCAAGACTGGAACAAGCCTTGAAACGCAGAAATCACACTGTTAATGCTACTGCCAGGGATGCAGGGGGATTGGTTTTTCCACCACACCACAAGGAATTGTTACCCTATTTTAAAAGAAGAAAATGTTAGAAATTACAATTGAAACTTTCCATACAGAACCAAACTGGAATGCAGGTCAGTTTTTTTTCTTCAGAATTTAAGAATCAAGTCATTTTAAGTTTGGAATACAATATGTCCTAGGAGGAGGATGTTTAGTTGGGGGATAATTTGGCTTTTGTAAAGACGGTGTCGTGTTTTAACATGTTCTAACGTGCTCTAACACATGTGTCTCAGATCGGTTATTCTGGTATCTGCTGACAGCAGGCAGTTCTGTTCTGCAGGTCTGTGAAACACTGGGGTCACAACACCAAATACTGCTGTTAGACAGTCTGTTTACCCAAATAACCTAAACGCTGTGGACACAATGTACAGTATAACATGTATAACATTGCAGCTACACTGTCCTAGACAGTGATTGCTGGAATCCTACGTCTATAAAAAGGTCAGATTTTATTAGCTGTATTAATTTGGAAATCAACAACAACTAAATTAGCCATCATCATCACACTTTCACATGCATGCTTTTGCCTGATGCGGTTCTTCTGGAGAAAATAACAGGACTAACAGGTTTACAGGCACTCGATAATGCATCTAGATTGGGGTGCTCATTTTATTGAGGCAGGAATCTTACTTGATCTCTCGTCTTGCATGTGTTTGAACGATCAACCTTAGCGGACATTCCCGATGCATGACTTTGCAGCACAGGTTCCCTGTTTCTCTTTGTCTTTTAAAGCATTTTGCGTTTAAAATACAGCTTTTCTTTACAGCTGCGCATGTGAAGCTATGTAGCTCAGTACGCATCGCAGTGTAGTTTAAAGCAGTCTTCACTGAGCTGCAAATCGGGGTGAGAAGCAGGCTTTAAATTCACTCCACCACCAGCGCTAAGGTATAAAAGAGGAGAGATTATCCTTAATTAGATGAGGAAAACATTCTCATTGTACTTCTCAAATGGAAACTGGAGGGATCTTCATACCTGTAATTTCCTGAATATGTTTACAACCCTGCATGGCTTTAGGATAGAAGAGACTCGCTGAGGCTTCCACCCCATCCTCTGCCATTTTTACCACTTGAATGGGGTCGTCCTTTCCTTCCTAACTTTCTCTGCTTCCCTTCAAGACTGTCTCCTGCCCACTCTCTGTGTCTTCAGCCATGTAGCGTAGAGCAACCCAACAGGCTCCCAGTGCCTGACAGGTACTCCTTTCGCTTGTTCTTTCTGTCTCCTTTGTGTATGTGTGTGTGTGTGTGTGTGTGTGTGTGTGCGCCTCTCAGTCCTTAAGCCTGCCTGCTTTGTGGTTTTGCCAGTGTACAAAATATAGAAAAGCAGCTGTACACCTTACAAGTAGCACCTTTCAGGAGCCTAGTGTCTTTTTTTTTAAGAGTAAGCAGCTGCTATGATTTATGCGAATGTAAATATTAATTTGCTGTGGCTCATGTCTGACACCAGAAAGCAGAACCTTCTAAACAAGATATCTTGACTTTGATTTCGTGGATGCAACGTGGATCTGTGTGTCCATTTAGACAGTTCTGCTTTCTAGTGTTCTGAAACAGCCAGAGTTCATTAATTTTCGTCTTCCCATGACAGATACATGTATGTGGAACTTAGAAAAACAGTCTGCAAGTCATTTGACTAGCTCAGCTAGTTTTAGGAATGTGTTTCTGCTATATTAGCTTTTTTTTCTCAGGTTGCACCTTTGATCTCTTCTCTGCTAATGAAGTTATTCTGCTATTTACTCGTCCTTCTAAAGAAGATAACTTACTTACCAATTACATAATTTTGAAAAGCCTTTCCAAATGAGGATATATATGTATGGCTGGGCACTGTAGTGTTTAAGACAGTGTTCTTTTCTGTGTGCAAAGTGGGTGTTACTTTATTAAGCTGATTTATGCTTGTTGTATTAAAGTACCCACATTTGTTATCCTTCTAGACAGAACTGAGAGGGAAAGAGTTAAAATATATGACAAAAACAGCATCCCAGCCAGTCTAACTGACAGCAAATCACCGTTCGCTACAAATTCACTACAGGCTTGTGGGAACAAAAAAATGCTGGTTTGTCTGCCTGCAGAAAGTTGCCGTGGAAAGTTTCGGAAAAACAGTGGTACATTGTTATGGAGACATGAGAAATATGTGTTCAGAAATGTACAGTAATTCATTGAAATGTTCTTACCATAGTACCCACTACGTAGAATATTTTAGAGTTATGCATATATATCATAATGAACACTCTGTGAAGCGTATTATTAAGGACTTTTTTATTTTTTGCAGCATTTATGCAAAAACATGTTTGGCCATTCATAATAAAAACGCAAAGAGGTAAGTTAATACTGAGAGAACCGGGTCATGACGTGACAGGGGTGGCTAATGTGTGGGTCTGCCTTGCAGGTTATCCGACGGAGAGCACAAGGAATGCCGACTGGAAGAAAAACGGCCAGTGAATGACCAAGCCCAGGAGCTCAAGCCGTGCTCCACTGGTTGGCAACCTCCACCCGAGCAGGCCGGGCAAGGGGACCTGGAGAACAGAGACGGGGCTGTTGCCCTCGGTGGTGAGAGATCACCCCCTGCCCGGGACAACGGGGATGTTAATGAGGCCCCTCCCGCTCGCTCGAGACTCCAGGCCGCGACTGACAGCAGCGTCGGCTCTCACAGTGCAGGACCCGACCAGCCAGCAGCGAATCCAGCAGCAGCGCCTTCCAGCAAGAAGAAAGGCCCTGTGCCACAGAGGCCTCCCCCGCCCAAGCTAGACAAATACAGACGTCAGGAAACCACATCCTCCTTGAGCGACTCCTCAGAATCCCTGCTCGGCTCCCAGAGCAGCAGAGCAGTCGGGCCTCGCTCCCCCGGGGCTCCGCTCCACACCCAGACGCAGCTTGCCGCGGGGCCGGAGGAAGAGCAGGGAGCCGCGGAGAGAGGCAGCCTCGCCAAACTCGAGCCAGCGCCGCCGCCCCCCTCCTCACCCTCCTCCTTCAAGTCGGCGGGTTTCTTCCGGCCTTCCATGGACGGACCCAGGACTCCCTCTCCTCAGTTTGCACCTCAGAGGCTGACAGACAGGCCGCCGGTCTCCATCCAGGATGAAGCCCCAAGCAGGTAGTACACTGTGACGAGTGCCGCTGAGCGCTTCTGACAGAAGCTCCAGTTCTTACCCGGACTTCACTGTCGGGCCTCTCCCGTCATGTGTCGGGTGTAATTCGGTTAAGCTTCTGTCGTTGCTCTGTTTTATTGAACAAAAAATCTTCGAGTGCCTCAGGAGTTCAAGTGAGCTCCAGCCTAGTTTACCAAATGAAATTAGAAAGTGCACCCTACATGTGTCCACTTTCCAGTAAGGATTTCTGTCAATGCACTTTGTCACTCAGACCCTCAGAAAGGGTCATTTCTGCGAGGCTGTTGTTGGTTCACGTTTAAGGGACTTGATATGTTCTGCTTAAAACTGGTGTGTGTTTTTTTTTTGTGATTCATTTTTTTATCCACACTCCCCAAAAGTCATGTGACATGTTGACCTTTGAACTGCACTGACACCGCCTTTTCTCCTGCACTGTGAAAACAGGGCTGTTACTGAAAGTAACTGCAAAGAAGGCATTGTGGGATGGTAAACACCAGTTAGGATACTGGAGGCAAGAAAACCATGTATTCTACATGTATTAATATTTTTTTTTTACCAAGAACTCGGGTATAAAGTCAGGTTTGAAAGATAGATTATGGTCGGGTTTTTTTCTTGAGAAGTAGAGTTAAATAACGGACTGATTCTCATATCCTTTTCAATAAGATGTCTCTGAAAATATACGTGTTTTCCAGTGCTAAGAAATTATAGCAATGATTTAAAAATCAGATATTAATATTTGATTATAGTTTCTTCATTGTTTTTTTTGTCACTCCACTCTGATCTAACCCAGATACTTAACTTCCTACTGCTAACAAAAAGTGTGCAGTCATTTGATGGAATGATTGAATTTGCTTAATTTGACAAATATTTAATGCTGCTTATACAAAATAACCAGAAAACGGACTGTATATATACAAATATTATGCTGCATGCATGTTATGCACATCAATAGTTTACTCAGAACCTGCACAAGACTAAGCTTGTCACTTCAGAACTCAAGGTAAACTGTAAACAAGCAGCAACTTATAAGTATTCTAATAGCTAATCCATCACATGAATCCAGAAAGTCAAGGTGACTCATTGTCACGTGTTACTTTCCATTAACATTGTTTGCTCCCTGCTATACATCCGTGTACAAATCTAGCAGGATTAACTGTTAGGTTAAAATAAAATGGCTAAATTTGTTTATTGAGTTCTTTCTGCATAAAGAAGGTGTGACATTGAAATAAAAGCGAAAAACATTGCAGAATGACCAAGACATTTGTACAGCAATATATGACCTCCCTCTTTGCATATAATAAATATATTATAAATATGTATATTATAGTCAAGTATTAGAAAATGAAATTGAAATGTAGCTTGCTTTCTCAAAGCAACATAGTCGTCAGTAAATCAATAAATTTCAGTCTTGGCACTAAATCTATCAAATTAATTGAAATAAAAATGGACTGTGGCCCGTTCAAAGCTTTCTTTATTAACAACTTGTTAATAAAAGAAAAGGGCATTCTAAGAGGTGAACAGTAATATCTGGAAAGAGAACATCATTGTGAATTTAATGTTTTTTTTTTCCCCCAATTCCTTTGATCTTTTTGCCAACACGTGAAGCTCAGGGTTGAGACATTTTGTTGCGGTTTTAGATGGCGATTTAATCTTTTGTTTTTTGTGCTGTGAATTTTCTGAATATCGTACTGCCTTAGTGAGAGTTCAAGGAAGTGCACGCGAGCGCTGTCATTTGGTAGAGGAGTGACATTTTGTTGCTATTGGCTATTGTTAGCATTGTGTAATAAAAGACTCTTTTCCCAAGTTCAAGGAGATTTTTAATTGTGCTTTTTTCAAAAAACCTTTGTCATTGATACCTGCCTCTTGCTGTGTTGCGGCAGAATAGAGAAGGTGATGGACAACAACACCACGGTGAAGATGGTGCCGATCAAGATCGTCCATGCCGAGAGCAACTCGGAGAAGGAGAGCCGGCAGTACCTCCTGCACAGCGTCGCCCCCGCCGGCTCAGCGGAGGAGCAGGGGGACCCCCCGGTCAAGACCCTGGGCTCCTTGGAGGAGTCCTACTCCCTCTTCTGTGCCTACACGCGGCAGAGAGCGGAGGGCCCCGGCGAGGCCGGTCTCGAGGACACGAAGGACAGCCCGTCCGCCGCGCAGGCCGCCAGCAACGGGGTCCGGAGCGCGACGGACCGGACGGACGAGGACAAGAAGACCGAGGAGCTGGCCCGGGAGATCGTGGACAAGGACAGGTCGCTGGCTGACATCCTGGACCCCTGCAGCAAGCTGAAGACGACCATGGACCTGATGGAGGGCATTTTCCCCAAGGATGACCAGCTGCTGGAGGGGGCCCAGCAGCGGCGGAAGCCGGTGACCAAGCAGGGATCCCCGAAGAGCTCAGAGGAGAAGTAAGCATCGGTCATTCGCGCCTGTGGGGTGAACGCGCGTGGGCTGCACTGCGCAGTGTGCAGCCATGGGTCCTGCACAGCCTCCTTCTATACTGGCAACTTCAATCTTGCCCTTGCCTGTCTGGCGATCTGCTTGAGCTGCATGTGACACCTCGGGGTGCTGGTCACCTCAACGGGCCTCTTCCTTTTTTTGGTGGGCCCATCCTTTAGGAGCTTAAGGAGGAGACGGTGTGCATTTGTTTAAAATGAAGGTCCGAGCGTCTTTACGTTCACGGAAGGCTTTAGAAAAAAGCAACAGGGCTCACGAAACCGGAATTAGTCAAAAAAGACTAAAAGGACAAAATAAAAAGACTTTTCATTCTGTTGAGTTATCATTACACTTCTCCACAAATCCCTTTCTAACTTGCTGGGTGGCTATTCCACCCCCAATCACCTAACCACTATGGCAGTGCAGCCATATCACCCTGCAACTCACAAATGGCAACCCACTGAAGCTAAGCAGGTGTGAGCCTGGTCAGTACCTGGATGGGAGACCTCCTGGGAAAAACTAAGGTTGCTGCTGGAAGAGGTGTTAGTGGGGCCAGCAGGGGGCGCTCACCCTGTGGTCCACGTGGGTCCTAATGCCTCAGTATAGTGATGGAGACACTATACTGTAAACAGGTGCCGTCCTTCGGATGAGTCGTAAAACCGAGGTCCTGACTCTCTGTGGTCATTACAAATCCCAGGGCGTTTCTTGAAAAGAGTAGGGGTGTAACCCCGGCGTCCTGGCCAAATTTCCCATTGGCCTTAACTAATAATCCCCATCTATGAATTGGCTTCATTACTCTCTGCTCTCCTCCCCACTAATAGCTGATGTGTGGTGAGCGTTCTGGCGCACTATGGCTGCCGTCGCATCATCCAGGTGGATGCTGCACATTGGTGGTGGTGGAGGGGAGACCCCATTACCTGTAAAGCGCTTTGAGTGGAGTGTCCAGAAAAGCGCTATATAAGTGTAAGCAATTATTATTATTATTATTATTATTAATCAACATTGGAGCAAAAAGAAAAACTCACTGGCTGACGTTTCTCCTTCAGTACAGTGTTTTCATACACAAAAACATTGTTTTCCATTTTGTTTTTTAGTCTTAGTTCAGCAGACCTGCTTGGTCTTTGGGTTCAGGCCCTTATTGACACCACCTGTGCTCTGTTAACTCAGAGACTCTTACAGTTGGCCTTATCCTGTTGCTGCCTGGGAAATGTAGTTTAAACTTCTCCCAGTGGGCTCCTTGGACTGCGAAAACAAAAAATGGAGAAAGTTATAGGTGATAAACACTATGGCGAATCCTTGGCCCATTACTAGTAACAACATCCATTACTTCAAGTGTGCTGTCCAGGGATGTTTTAGTGATATCAGAGTCTAAATAGATCCCCATTGTAAAATGTGCTACCTTGCATAGGTCCTTAAGTAAAGGATGAAGAAGCATCTTATTAAATACCAGCAAAGCTGACAACTGCATAAAGTAAATGTATGCCTAAAGCAGATTGCAAGAATCCGTTAGGCTTTATATTACTAGATTTCTTTTAGGAATAACTAAATGCATCCTGTAGCAATCAACCAATACAGTAACTCCAAAATTCTACCACATCAAAATAAGTCTAGGTTCGTCTTGGGCTGTTTGGTGCGAAATATCTGCACAAAGCTGTACTTTCAGAAGTGATCTAAATTATGTGCTCTAAGCTATTGAGTCCTTTTTTAGAAGGAAACACTTGGAAGCGTTTGGGATATGGATATGGTAATACTGTGCAAAAACATGTCGAATGTGTACAGTTAACAGTACAAGCAGCACTGCTGGACATCTGTGCTGTCACCTCTCCATTTCACCTGCTAATTCATGAGTCCTGGAGTCTTGGGGGAGCCTGTCCTAGCAACGGACAGGACGCCAGTCCATCACAGCGTTCACACAGACGTGCTCACACTCACTCCAGGACCGGTCTTCCTAGAAGCCCGTTAACCCACCAGTATGTCTTGGGACTGTGAGAGTCCCCCATGCCAATATGGGGAGAACATACAAACGCCACACAGATAGCACCCCAGGAATGGACCCCAGGGCTCCAGCACCTGGAGGCAGTAGTGCTGACCACTGTGCCCACCATGCCACCCTATTTAGTTACTCTAAAAACCTAATTTAAACTTATTTAAATGCAGCCTTAGTTTTTCCTTTAGGATGTCTAATATTAGAGAAATGTTATTCAGTCAGACAGAAGCAAACTTCTGGAACAAAATGATCTTTTTGCGCAGCGTCTGACACTGTGACGTCTACAATAACAACAGCACGTGGTGAAGAGAGCCGCATCCTTGCCTTTTCATTTGGGGGACTGGTAATCTCTTAATTGAGCTCTTACCCTTCTGCTGTCGCCCACTTCCGTAATTAAGGATTAGTTGGGAAAAGAAGATCAAACTGAGGTGACCGAATCCTGTTGACCCAGCCCCTCCTCGCTCTCTCTCTCTCCCTCTCACAGGAAGGAGGACGAGCTGGCCTCTGTTGTGCCCCTGGGTACCAGCTCCACCTACTACAGCACGTCAGCCCCCAAGGCAGAGCTCCTGATCAAGATGAAGGACATGCAGGAGGAGATCGAGGAGCAGGACTCCGAGGACGAGCTGGACAATGATCTCTCTCAGAAGAAGGTAGCTCGTATAGGAGAGCACATCTACTGCAGTCAGCAAAGCTGTCGCCCGGCACCACCCCATCACTGCTCTCCCTCTATTTAAAATCACTGTTTGCTTCTTAATTCACTCTGAGACTGGGTGATCAGAGTTTCCGATATTTTCACCACTGTCCCAGATACGTGCCACCTGCATTTTTTAATTTGATTCTTCAGCCTTCAGTGTTTTGGTTATGATTTCACTGATTTTTGTGGCGATTTACACAGCTCAGGAAATCAGTATTAGATGAATGTGAAATTGCTACGAAAGGCAGCTTTATTACTAGAGGAAAGAAAATGACCTTAGTTCAGGATATGAAAGGTAAAATACTGAAAGGATTGAATGAAGGTAGTGCTTATCAGTGATCAAGACAAATCATATTTAAGTCAGAATATCTTTAAAGATCTTAAATGGGCTATACATATGTTTAGATTTGTAAATACAATTCTACTCATTTTTGGTATCTACAGAGCATTTTGCCGATGTAGCCTCTCAGTGTTGGTAGGGAATATCCACCAATTGTATATTCATCTAGGTTTTCAGTTTTTTGCAAGTGGTTTTCGTGCAGTCTAGAATGAATACTTTCATTGCCCAGTCCTTTTTTTAAAGTATATATATTAATTAAGTCACCCATTAAAATAAGTTAGTATAAAATGTATGAGCAGAGTGCAGTGATGCTGGTGTAACAGAAGAGGGTGCTGTCTGCCTGTAGAAGTCAAAAGCTGAAAGGGATTGAGGGACTATGTGCAGTATAGGGCCAATGAGGGAGAACTTGCCAGGAAAGTATAAAGTTTCTATTGAAACGATCTCCAATTCAGGACATTTCAAAACCCACTAGAGGAAAAAGATATTTATATTCCACTCCTAATTGTTAGAGTATCGATTGAAGTTAACCAATTGATAGTTTATGTTGGAACCAACTGCAATGTCAATATTGTTTATTTGCTGGCTTTTTTATTTCGTTTGTTTCTTTAAAGTGAAAGGACAGTGCTGTAGTCGCATAAAAATGTGAAAATAAGACACCCAAACAAGGGTAACCCAGTCACAGGCCAAAAGTAAGGAACTTTAGAGAGACAGTTTGCTCAATTTTTGAGTATAGAAAAAAACCCAGATTTTGCCATGTTATTCTACGTAGCTGAGCTTGCTGGACTGAATTTTTTATTCCTATTGGTTCCTTACCCTGTGAGTGCGAGATCACTCCGAAACATGGCACCAGTTATTTCTTTCACTGCTGACCGGGAGATGGCTCACGGCTTCAGACCCCAGGTCAAACGGATGAGTTTGGTACTCCGGCAGTCAAGCAGAGCTGCATTGGCTCTTAATTATTTAACATTCGTCAGTGCGGAAAAGTAAGTTATCTGGACCGTACTTGGAAATTAAATTTGTATTTTAAGTTTGCTTTATTCAAAAAAAATAATTTGAGGCAAAAGGTCTCCTGGCAAGTGGTGGCCCGGGTTGTGTGAAACCAGAAATGATCCGTGCCTCTGAAACGGCGGTCGTTTGTTTTTCCCGCAGCAGGAGTTGATCAGCAGCATCGGCAGGAAGCTGCAGGTGTTGCGCGAAGCCCGGGAGAGCCTGCTGGAGGACGTCCAGGCCAACAACGCGCTGGGCGACGAGGTGGAGGCCCTCGTCCAGCGGGTCTGCAAGCCCAACGAGGTGGACAAGTTCCGCATGTTCGTGGGGGACCTGGACAAGGTGGTGAGCCTGCTGCTGTCGCTGTCGGGGCGGCTGGCCCGCGTGGAGAACGCCCTGGACAGCCTGGACGACGGCGCGCCGGCGGAGGAGAAGGTGAGAGCGGGGGGCCTGGGCGGCGGCGAGCCCAGCTGCGGCTCCTGGGTGTTGCCGCCGACCGCAGTGCAAACACTACACCCTGGGAAAAGGGACGGCAGCCGCGTCTGGGAAACGTCCAACTCGCCGCCTGCTTCCTTTCCTTGATTGTTTGTGTCTTTATCTTGGCAAGGCGAAACCAACACGGTGTACGGGTTCCCCGCCACAAGAGATCTTTGCTTGTGTTGAGTCATGCCACGATAAGTCGCTTGAAAATGGGCTTGAAAATCTTTCACAGACTGTGTCTGATGTCTTGTGGTCCCATTTCGGTTGAGGGCCTGAGGCGTTGAGAGGAGCGCTAAGAGTAGCAGGGTCCGGTCTCATTTCCAGGCTTCTGGTTTTATTCAAGCTGAAAGTGTTCTGTGTTCTGCAGCACCCACACCTCTCCACACGTAGGAGAAGTCCCCTGTAGTATCACTGTGGCATGCTCAGGTGTCTGAGTCGTTTGGAAACCTGGGCGTCCCACTCCAGTCACAGAGGCCTGCAGTCCAGCAGGGTTCATAGATCTCTTTAAATGTGCAGCATGTGAAGAGCTGCACAACGCTGTTAAACTGCTCCTCTTCAGCTAATGATCAGTCCACTTGTGTCGTTAAGAGTGGAACTGGAATGTAAACCTGTAGGATTGGAGCCGGACACCTCTGATTTAACATTTTAGGCCCTTAACATGTCCTGTTTCAGCACCCAAGAAGACGGAAGTAAAATGTTTCATGAAGTTTACTCTTTGCTTCAGAAAAAAAACACATGTTGGCTATGTAGCATATTTCTCAGCACGATACATTTATGGTTAAAAAATTGGAGATGATGATTCAGAGAATATTACAAAATAGCTAAATCATGCAATAATTTATGACGTCAGCAAAGGGTTCTAGGCAGCCCAAACATGAGGCAATCAACTTAGTTAAGTGTCCAAACATTGCTGAAACACCTTTATAAGCATATGCGGTACAATTTTGTCTCTAAGGTTGGGTGGGTGCTCTTAGAGCACTTGTAAAATCACTTAAATATGCAAACTGTATATCCTGATGATCAAGAACTGGCATGAAAACGACTGACCAATGTCTCTGAACAATAATTAGCTACGTAATTTCAGCTTGGCCTTTGGCTTACTCTGTGTTTACCTCTGCTTAGCTCCGTCACTGTAATTGTCATAACCATCTTAATGCTAAGGAAAGATATTTGCATCTGTTCATCTGTAATTCAGAACTCCATCAAAATATTTTCCTGTTAGTAAGAACTTAGAGTAAAAACCCAGGCTCGGCCCTATCAGAAGAGAGCAACAGTGACGAAAACTAATATTATTTGACAGGAAAATAACTTCTCATCAAATACCACCAAGAAAGGAATATTTTATTATTGGTTCTTCATACTGTATAGAATAATTATAGACTCATTATTATAGACTAATTAAATAGATTATTAGAATAATTCCAGAGGCGAACTTATGTCTCTTTATTCTTACTAATCTGGACTGACACTTCATGTTGCTCCTTGCACTTTTTTTTCTCTTTTCTGTAATTTGTAACCATTTCAATATCTAGAAAAAGTTTTCACGTTGTAGTATTGTAACAATCTCATTTCAAAAGATGTGTAGTTGGACCGCCTTTGTTTGTTTCCTGTTTTGAGTCAAGATATGTACTGACAAGTATTTCCGCAGAAGGCCGTGGTCCTACAGTCTTGTCACACCAGCGATCCTGCTTTCTCTCCCGCCAGCGCATCCTGACCGAGAAGCGGAAGCTGCTCATCAGACAGCACGACGATGCCAAAGAGCTCAAGGAGAACCTGGACCGCCGCGAGCGTGCGGTCTTCGCCATCCTGGCCAGCTACCTCGACGAGGACAGCTTGGCCGACTACGAGCACTTTGTCAAAATGAAGTCGGCCCTCATCATCGAGCAGCGCAAACTGGAAGACAAAATCAAACTGGGTGAGGAGCAGCTCAAGTGTCTGACCGACAGCCTGCCACTGGATCACCGAGCCCCCTTCTGACCTTTTGGCTGGGTTCCTCTTGGGCAGAAAGGTGGGCCGTGTATCTCCTTTGGATGAGGGAGACCCAGGTTCTCCAGTCTCACCCGTGTCTGATGACTGAAGAAGAAAGAGACAGTGGACTTTTGATTGCAGTGCGTGACTTTCGCTTGGAGCTCCCCTACATTTTATTCCTTGAAGGAAGACTGCAGACATTTCCTGTCATTTCATAAAGATGACCTTTGCTGGAATTGTAAGATAGGGCCGCCCGGTAGGGCATTTTTGATTTCTACACCTGTGATGATGACCGTGCAAACATGGATTGATATTGATTTTGGATATTTTAAATCCCTCTTGCTTGTGCATAATGTAAGCAACCACCCCAAATGACTTTTTACTGGCTCGGGCATGTTTTCAGATCGCATTCTGCCTTTGTCTATTTTGCAATTTGAAAAAACAAATTTTAGTTATTTATTCTAGCCTTGGAATTGATGCAGAGACCTTGAAGGTAGAGCACTGTTTTAATCTTTAATCTTTGTAATACAAACTTATACCATAAGACCATCATATGCATTTAACAATCATAATTGTCCATACAAAGTTTCGCATTAAAGTATCATTAAAGAATTACAAGACTGTGACTATGTGATCTTGCAAAAAAGTAAATCAGTAGTACTAAATAGTACTGATCATACGATCAGTATTCAGTTAAAACATTCAGTAATATATGAACACGGATATGGTGCTGGGTCCAAAAAAATGCCATTGCTCTTTTGTCTGTCTTTTATTCTGTTTTCTTATTAATTTTTTTTTCATTTTATGCCCGGTGCACGCCTTCATACATTTGTATTTTTCTTGACCTCAGAGTTGTTCTTGACAGAGAATCTTGAAGATTTTTTTTTTTGCATCAGGAGTTGCCCTTGAAAAGGGACCGTTTTGAAATTGGCAGCCTGGGTACAGGGAGTCTGAAAGGGTACTCATTTTGAAAGTTTGAAGTACTGAGGTAGCACTTTACTGAGATTACCCTGCAGCAGAAAGAAAAAACCTTTATATGAAGTGGTGCTTGGGAATTGTGTGTCACTGCCTCCTAGCAGTTGAAGGGTTTGTGTCTGATGGTGTGTACGTGTGTGTATGTGTGTTTAAGTAAATATGCATACACATCTTAAACAATTCCATTCGAAGCCACATTTAAAACCAATCTGTAAAGAGATGAAATCAGTTTTTAGTGTGTGAATGAAAACAATGAAATGAATTTGTTCAGGTCTTCCCCATGACAGACTTACATACTACAGGCTGAACTCTACGAGATGGGGAAATTAAAACATGGACTGTTCATGCCGTCCAATTGCACCCTGTCAGCATGCAGAGACAAGTTATTAGATTTTGCCAGAACTCTGCAGCTCTTTGACCACTGAGAGGGTGAGCTGTATGGTGAGCCCACCTGGATCACATGACCACCATTCAGGGCATGACTTACTGTGTCAGTCATTGTTGCTTTAGTTTATAAAATTGACTTTGTTGATGAAGAGTTTATCTGAAATGTGAATAATTATTTAACTATAAAATAGTGTGTACATAGCAAAATATGGGCCCATACTCTAGATCCACAGAGAACCCGGGATGTAGGAACAAGAATCATAAGAGCACCACACAGAAATAGATCCAGACAGTTAGCGTTAATCTCCATTTCTGGCAGTTTTGGTTAAAACACTTAAACATATATACAGTTAAAACAACGTTTCTGGAAAATGTATGTATAGTGTTTGTTTGGTTGTTAATTTTTCAGAGTTGCTAGACAATTTTAAAGGGCCTTTTTTTTGTGTCCGTTGTAGATGCAGAGTGGGTTGTTAGTTACGCAGAGAGGGCAGTTAACCCACTTGCCACTGCTTTGCCTTTTATATTTAATGTAAAACCAAAACAATGTCAAAAATGAATTTCCTTTTAGACGTAACTTTAGACACATGCACTATCTTAACATTGCTCATTTGTAGGCACCAAATGTGCAAGATTAACAACAGTTGCAGTTGCTGTTCTAATAGGATAACATCAATATCCCTGAGCCCATGGATGATTGGAGACTTTAATGTAGTATTTATACTCTCTCCACAGCTGTAACTTAAGGCTTTTAACATTTGTATGTGCTCGACTATACTACTTTAATAAAGAGTCTGGTTGAATGTGAATGGTTTGTTTCTTCTTTTTTCATCTTACTGTAAGCAAAGTGTCAAAAGTTTTTTTTTTTCCCCTCCATCATTCCTCCGCCAATATGAGCCTGCTGGTTTAGGCAGCAGGTTTCCAGCCACAGGAACTCTTTATCACTTCTCACTGCTCTCCGTTGTGATTTCAACACAGTTGTCCCAGCTGAGCTGTTCTACTTTCAACTGGCTAACGCAACAAAAACCCCAGGGCTGGGCTTTAGAGTGAATTTCCTGCTTGGTCTGCTTATTCCAAGTTTAAACGGTCCTGGGAGCAGTACAACTGAGAGCTGAATGAGCTTTGTGGGCTGAAGGACTTCATCTCGTGTGGCTGATCTGAGTGTGTTGCCTCTTTCCTCATTCTGGACGCGTTCCTGCTTTATTTTGTTGGGATATTTAGTACGGGTAGTTCTGTACTTATACGCTCTTGAATGTAATCATTTTTAGTTTGCTGCTTCTCAAGAATACATACTGCTACTACTTTGTTTAGGATGAGTCGGTTCTCACTGGAACACACTCTGGGGGCAGACTGCAGCGGCACCTCAAGACACAACGTGCAGGGGAGTCGTGCGCAGGCATGAACCAAATCGCTCGGACGACGCACGGGGAGCTGGGCAGGTTGTGTCATCTCTCATTGGCTCAAGTTCACTAAATAAATCGATAAAATGTCTCCTTTGTCTTAGTCCGTACTTTATTTTTTTACACAACACGCATAAATTAAGTCAATTAAACACTAAGAGGAAGCTGTGCACAAAAATCAGTACAAGTGAACTTCAATGTAAAGTTTTTGGAAAAACATTAAACAAAAAACAAACCATTACCATTGGACTTCATGTTCAATAAATAAAATGATTAAATGAAATAAAAAATAAGATTTTGAATGTTTTTATGTGACATAAAAAAACTTATGAAACTGAAAAATAAATTTCTGACCATTTATTCAAAAGGGCTGAAAATAGTTCCACCTGTATCCAGTCCACATTTTCACCTGGCCTTTCCCAATCATGGCTTCCTAATAATCCCCCTCTCTGAACTGGCTTCATCACTCTGTTCTCCTCCCCACTGAGAGCTGATGTGTGGTGAGAGTACTGGAGCACTATGGCTGCGCTACTAACAGCGCTTTCAGTGGAGTGTCCAGAAAAGAGCTCTATAAGTGTAGGGAAATATTATTATTGTTGTACCAGATGTATCTATGATTTACACATTTTCCACTTTTTCCCCACACACCATTAACAGTAGCACTCTTTGTTTTACATGAAATTGCTAAATATTAACTTAGTTTAAACAGGCTTTACAACTATGTACATATCTTGCATGAATAAATGTTTAATTGTTCTTACGTGCGCAATAGTGAGTCCTTGTCTCTTTGTCTGTAGTCAGACAAGCATAAAAGCTGGATAGATCTAACTTAGATTTCTAGATGTTGAATATCAACTTCTGGGAGGAACACAGTGATCACAAAGTGACAACTTCCCAGCTAACATAGGAAAGGAAGAAGGATCTGAAAAATCCTAACTACTGTTTTGCAGCTGCAGTCTATAGTAATAATCCAGATTTGCAATGAAACTCCCTCTACCCCCTTAAAGAAAAATAGCAAATGATTTCAAATTAAAAACCATATTGAATGAAGGCAACTAGAGAAGAGTGAAAATATTTTCTAAACTGTTTCTTTCTACCTAAGATTTCTGTTCCCCAGATATACTGAAGACACATTTTCTCTTCATAATTGAAGTACTGAATTTTCAGTTCATGTATTTAGGCCTGTCAATTTTCTTAGGTCCCTGAATAAAAGTGTAACAAAATTGCAAGGATGTGAGGGTAACTGGAGTATTTAAAAAATCCGGAAGCATATTCCATTTGCGTTTAAGCTAAATAAACTAAATGGAGTTTATTTAGTTGCATTAGATCGCCAATTCTTTAAAGTGATTTCTTGTCTAAAGGTCAGTGTTGTTGTAACCAATAATTAATAACTTCTGCTTTTGTATAGCATGTTTCATTTCAAGGGATACCAAAGTGCTTTACATATTGGAGGGGACTCATGTCCCCAGCCACTGAAGTCCAGCACTCACCTACAGTATGTGTGCCAGCAGCTCTGGAGAGTTTTTATTGCAAGATACACTAGTGAAGAGTCTACTTGTCAATGAATGCATACTGGGGGAACACAAAAAGTTGTATTATTCTAAAATGTTGAAGCATTTATGCACAGAAATACCCCCAAAATAAAATGTCAAATCAGAATTGCTTGAGGATACAGCAGAAATAGTTATTTAGACTTTACTTTCACAATACCTGTGGAGGGCACTGTAGATGTGTAAGGTTACACTTAAAACAAAATCATGAAACAGTTCTGAATATAAGAGTCTTAATGAGGCCAATTGTGGGATTCATTTTGATTGCAATGACTTTGCAAATTAAGTCCCGGAAGGCACTTTTTTGACAAGTAAAATTCTTATTGTCACTCTATCTTCAGAACATATCTCTATCAGCCTAGCCTTTTTTATTGTGTGATAATTGATATAGTAAGTTAAACATTAACTAACACATAACTATTGTAAGGTTGTAACTATATTGACTTTGCTTGAAAACAAAACTAGAATCTAACATCTTGTGTGTTTCAGTTGTGTAGAATCCCATCCCACGAGAGGTTTCATCTGGAGAATTTTCTATCGCGGGATTGTGCGAGCCTCTGATGTTCAAGACACCAAGGACTGGCCATTCCCCGAATGTTTATGGAAGAAGAAGTCTCCTACATTGGTAAGAAAACATATATACTTCATTACTGACATTTCTTGTAATTATTTTGCTTTTTATATTATTTTTGGTAAATCATTTTATAAATAAACATCCCGTTCTGAGCAGAGAGCAGTCTTAACCAGTCACTTCCTGAAACTGGAAACAGTGATTATACTAATAAATAATTTAGTTTTAATCCAAGCTGTACTGTAAATACATATCATAGTGCGAAACAGTGTTGAGCACTCCAGTAACGTTTAGAATTCAGCATCATGCAATAAGTTAGAGAACAAACGAATCATTAATAGGGACAGCAGCTACCCTGTTGAATTATAGGGTATCAAGCTACAAGTAAATGGAAAGTTTATACTGATATAATTTCCAGTTACTTATAGGAGGGACTGGGTTTCAGTTTAATTGTGTTTATTTGTTTAGCTAATACATCCTTTGTTTAATCATGAAGTACAGTGAAAATGTCAGTATGGTGACAGTGAAGTGAAATTTATCATCTTTGATGTGCATTAATGAAATTTGTATTTGTATCAAAAGATTATGATGAGGCAAAAATATAAAGTTTCACCTTTAGTTTCTGGGTATTATTTTGCATACATGTTTAATCATGTTAGAACACTGTCATTTGTTGTGTCATTCAATTGCTCGGGTATTCAGTGTTGCATTAACAGTGAAAACATAAAAGAGCCATGAATGTAAAGTTTTGATTCCAGCCTTTGGAGCTCACTTTTTGCCTCTTCCAAATGATTTGGAAGGCACAAACCACGATGGAGACTAGAGAGCTGTCTGTGTTGGAAAAGCAAGCAATTGTGAAGATGAGCACAAAGAAATGTCCAATTGGAACCCTAAAAAAACAGCCAGAGATGATAAACAATCTCCAGGATGCAGAGTTGAAAGTATCTCAATTCACTGTGTGCAGAACACTATGTCAGAAAAAATACAAGATCTACACTACAATATACAAAACTCACAGCACTAAAAACAGACCAGGTTACGATTTGTAAAGAAGTTCCAGGATGAATCACAACATAATAAAGGTTTATGGACAAACAAGGTCAAGATTAACTGTTATGATGGCAGAAGCAGAATTAATTCAGTAGTGTTCAGAAACATTTAATCTGTCTACAAAAATGCCTCCAAACATTGGGCAGCAAATCACCCAAAGTATACTCTACACTGAACCAAGGAATTCACTGGGAAGAAGTGGAAATTTGAACTAGATCAAAATTTTGAACTAGTCAATCTCCTGATTTAAATCCTATTGAGCATGCATTTCACTTGTTAAAGAGGAAACTAAAACCAGTAACCCCATAGACACAGACAAGCAGCAACTGAACGCCTGTAGTTAATGCTTGGCAAAGAATCACAAGGTGAAAAAAGTCAAAGGAAGATGGGTTGCACACCTGAAGCTGTCATTGCACGTAAGGGGCATGCAGCCAAATACTAACTTTGCACTAGCTGAATTTGCTTCAAGTTAATTAGTCCATCTACATGTGCTGACCTGAAATTGAGGGAGATTGAACACAAAAACATTTTGGTTCTAACATGGTTAAATACGTATGCACAAGAATACCCAGAAATGAAACCTGAAATTTAGCCTCATATTTATCATTTATCTTAGGACCTGAGATTTCTGAGACTTCTCTGTCCCAATACCTACTCTTTTCTTTCTGTGAGTTTTCTTTATGATCTCACTGGCAAGGTCGCTCAAGAGATGTCGATCCGTTTTGTGCAGATCTGGGTAGTTATTTTTTGAGTCTTTTATTTAATGGTTGACTTCCATATTGCGTTTGGAATAGATTCATTACACCTGAATATTGCATTTCGTTGATTGTTTTCTTTCAATCTAATGTAAATCATGTAATTTCACACAAATATTACAGTTTGTGATATTTGCTAGCAGCTTGTGAAAATATATATCCACAACTGTATATGTCTGCCATCTGAGGAATCTTTTTTTAAGTGAGACGAACTGCAACCCAAAATTGCTGGTTGCACGTCTCTGTGTAGCTTTATATATTCCATAATATATAAGACGGTTTTTCACAAATTACATCTTTAAGGAGATTATACTTAGGTTGAAGGAAGGGTACCATAGATCACAGTCAGGTTTTTTCATAGGTTATGGAGGGGTAATATATTGTTTTTTGCTTGTTAGGTTGTATAATGCCATACTTGGAGAAAGTTTAGCTTCTTGACCCTTTGTCCTATAGTGCATCAGCAATAAAAAAAGGTTTTATTTTATAGGATGTTGCGATTGAACTCTCCTACTCTTTGACATAAGAGAATGTGAGACTGAGCTGGAGCTTCAGGCCTTTTATGCAAAAGCAAGATGCAAATGCAAGATTTTGCAGTTAGTTCACATTAGTTTTCCTCTCATTTAGCTCATGTAACTTCAACAAGTTTGTTTTGAGGTACAGAGCACATTTGATATTGTCGTGAGGTGACATTTGCTGAAATGTAATTATCTGCCACATATTCTGTCTTAATTTTCTCTTCCTATCCTTCCTATCTCTGAGGTATTTTGGAAGGAAGTGAATACTTGTAGAAAAGCTCAGAGGACTTTTAACTTTTTCCAATACACATATAACATATTGGAATTATAATACAAAGGAAATTCCATTTTTTGAGCTGAAGGTCTATCAAAGGGTATTCAAAAACAGCAGTCTGGAAAGTGTTCTATTAAGCAAACTTTTAATGTTTTGTGTTTGCTCTATGTAATTGAATTTAGAGTAAAGATGTTTTCAAACAACCCCCACAACTAACACTGTGGTCTAAGGTCACAATGATGTAGGTTATTATGTCTTATCTACGGATTACAAAACTTCAAAATTTCATACTGTCATAAAATGTAATTTTTTACCTGTATATCATTTTCTTAGGAACTGACCTACACATAAAATAAAACATTTGGTGTAAGTGGAGAAGGACGGAAAATAAATCTCTTATCCTTGGCACTCCCAGTGTCATGCCGATCACAGCACCACCTACACCCTCTCCAGTGTAACACAGGAGCTCCCGATCTCCAAAATCGTACAGAGAGACGTTCTTCAGTGTAAGGAAATAGCGAGGGCAAAAAGCATCTTGGTAGAAACGACACAGAAAAGAAAACTAGAAAACACACTCCTGTTCATAAAACACAAGTTCAATTCTCAGAGGTATCTAGCTTTTCATTTAATAATCACTTTAAAAATAGAAAAGAAATGAACTGTGTTGATCCAGGACTCTTTGATTTGTGGTCTTGCTGTTGAAATGCTAAATGAGAGAGTGGTATTGGCAGCCCACGAGGATGGGAACTCCGCAGCTTGCACCACTCCCCCAGTCCTGACAGTATCCTTGGCAATTCTTTTGCCTAGTATTTATCAAAAGTGGATAAGCAGGCATAGTTTGTCCGGGGTAGGAATGTAAGCATTTAATCCCGTCCTTAATTTTGCCAATGGTGGGGGTTAAAGAGGTGACAGCATTCTTCTCATTTGATTTCTAACATTCAGCTTCCTGTTTACAGTCCCAAGGAGCAGAAGAGATAATTTTGGGGCTAGAAGGTTTGGAAGGCACACACTCCACCACCAACCTTCACCTGCCCAAAATAACGTTTGCTGTTCTTCTCTGAGCCTGTAGTTATACAAGTGGGAACTGTCCGCCGCAGTCAGAAAATCACATAGCCTGGAATCAAATCGCCATCTTCCAGACTAGACAATACAACTGGCACTTGAAGTGGAGTCTTACCGGACAACTAACAGGAGAGTTCCCTTCTGAATCTCGTTTTCACGTTATAATACAGTATATATCGTAAAAGGCCTTTGCTACCTAAAGACATACTGTACAGCAGGCTGTGTTCTTTTATACAAATCGACAGTGCTGCAAAAAGATCCAGTAAAATAGTTGTTCGAATAATGAAAAATCAGTGTTTTTTTACAATGTATAATGTCCTGGTAGACCATTACTTCATTGTCTTTCACCTTCTGAGACCAGGAAAGCTGGTTGAGCAGCTTTTAGTAACCAACAACAAGTGCAACACTGTTCTATTGTGCTGCACTAGATTTCTCTGGTTTTGTCCCCAGCAATCAGTTTGTTTTAGGTGGTAATGACTTTTAAGTGGCCTGCTTTTTGTTTCTTACTCACACACTTTTTTTTTACATTGTGTTTTTTTCTCAGAGGACCCCAAGTGTTTTGTTTGCTGAGTCTCCAGGAAACAGGGATAAGTGAAAAGATCTAGCAGGCTCTGAAAGGAGCCAGATGCTGCTGTGATGTTCAGTGCCCAAACAGAGAAACCTTAAAGGAGCTGGACACTGATGAAAGAATACTGGCTTCAATACCACCGCTGCCCTACCAGCAGAAGGACCTGAAACGACACATTTTCTTTTCCTCTGAACATGCGCAGCCTACCTGGCAGCAGGAACAGCCTGGATGTTTGACAGATCTTATTGTGTTGGTCCATGTCTTGACTTTCCTGCCTAACACAGCTCACCTTTTTTTTACATTGTGTTTTTTCTCAAAGGACCCCAGGTGTTTTGTTTGCTGAGTCTCCAGGAAACAGGGATAAGTGAAAAGATCTAGCAGGCTCTGAAAGGAGCCAGATGCTGCTGTGATGTTCAGCGCCCTAATAGAGCAACCTTAAAGGAGCTGGACACTGATAAAAGAATACTGGCTTAAATAGCACTGCTGCCCTACCAGCAGAAAGACCTGAAACGACACATTTTCTTTTCCTCTGAACATGCGCGGCCTACCTGGGAGCAGGAACAGCCTGGATGTTTGACAGATCTTATCGTGTTGGTCCATGTCATGACTTTCCTGCCTAATACAGCTCACCTGCAATTTGGCAGCTTTTGGGTAGGCATTGTGGGATGGATTCTGTCCGCAATAAGCACTGGACTTATAGAGTGGAGGATATGGTACGTGTCCGACACAAGTATCATAACCTCCGGGGTGGCCTGGGTCGGAATTTGGAAGGCCTGTTTCTTCAGCGACAAGCTGGTGTCTTCTGAGCTCAAGGTGATGTACTGTCAGAGAATTAATATTTCAGACCCTTTCGCTCCCACAGAGATCTACGTGGCCCAGGGACTCATGGTCGTGGCCATTATTGCCGGAGCAGCAGCGAAAGCTTCCTCGGTGTATGCCTTCAGGAACATCTACTTCGGAATCAATGAGTCCAGACCCATACGAATTGCCCTTTCGCTGGGAGGGGCTTTATTTATTTTTTCTGGGGTGTGTGTGTTAATTCCTGTTTCCTGGAACATGAACTCCGTTGTTGAAAACAGGCCCATAAACTTTCCTTCAGAATTCCACATGCCCTCTTCTCCTTCGAGGCAAGAGATAGGCGCAGGCATTGCGGTTGGGATTGTGTCTTCGGTTCTGTCCATTTTCACTGGGCTGGTATTTTTAGTTTACAAGTTTCCAGAGAGACAGAATCCCAGAGTCCAGCCCCTTAACCCAAGAATAGACGACTTTGAAGGCTCAAGTATCGGAACATCCTTTTCCAGCAGGTCAGGGTCAGCAGTAAGCAGGGATATTCGGAAGTCCTTGCACGGAGAGGACAATCTTGCTTTCCAGTCAGAGAAGTTATAGACTTTAATGCTGGGTCACTAAGGGACACTAACACTAAGCAGTGTATAATGTGATGTTCAAAGTCCTTCTGATATTTTTTAATAAATTCCAAACTGAAAGAAATATTTCAGTGTGAATTTGTGAAAATATGTAGGAGATGCAATCTGTAAGTAGCAGTACTTGAAACATGAAGCCCAGATACAAAAAAATCTCAGGTAAAGTATGTTGCTGGTAAAATATAGCACCTCTATAATGTTAATTAAAAAATGTTGTTTTATATAATATTTAACTTGGATTTCTATGAATAGTCTAACATGCTGGGTATCTGACTTCTCTATGTATATTTTCTTCAGGTTTCAGTTAACAATTGGCAGTGTTCTGTAGGTTTAAATACGTTTTACAGCTGTGTTGTGTTTGTTCCTGGACTAGATAGCACTTGTGAGGTGTCTATGTTGGAACAAAATGCTCCCAGACCTATTATTATAATTATTATTATTATGCTGCTTTGAAATATAATAAAATATATAAATATATTAGATGGTAGTGTGGATGGTACAGTATTACTTGCATGTTTCCAGTAAAGAGAAGAGCCAGGGAAAATGTTTACCTTTTAGTGTAGTATCAGCACAGGATATGTTTCTGTGGGTTGAGCACTTGAGAATTGAGAAGATATACAGACCAGCTACTTAGGGGACAATGCACTTTTGAAACACTTAACATAAATCATTGCTTTGATTCCAAAAGGGCTAATTAAGCACAGGCCTTTGAACATCTTTCAATGAGTTCACTGTGGAACTTTACCCTGTTCTGATGGTATGATAAGCATAACCTGTATTTTAAAACATAGATATGTACAGTAATAGCTCAAAAGCTGTTTTATTCTGCAGTGCATTATACAAATATATATTTGATCTTATTAAAACATATACTGTATTTACAGACACCCATATCAGAAGGACTTTTTTTTATTAGGCTGGAAGATAATTTTACAATACAAAGGTCTATTTGATCCACTTACAGTATCTATTTTCAGAAACCTAATTAAGCCCAACAGAGTCATGGTGAGCCAGAGTATACTCTTGGAGGCACTAGGCAGGATTACACTTCAAAAGGGACACCAGTTTGCTGTAAGACATACTCAAATACAATAGACAATTTAGAGATGCCGGATAACATGGACAGAATGTCTTTGGCCTGTCTTAGAATTGCAGAGCACCTAGAGAAAACACATGTGGTACAGTGTAGCTGTCACTAATGTTTTTTTAGCGGCTGTGACTCCTAACATTTTCTTGGAAATCTTTAGAACAAAGAAAATGAACAAATATACTTTGTATATACAAATACAAATATACTATATACTTTGAAAAACAGATAGGCCTTCAGGTCTCTTCTTGTTGCCATAGGTACAAAGAGAAGATACAAGAACCCAGCTGTTACGTATTGTCTAAGACAATTTAAACAGTGTAAACTCTGGTTAAAATAGTTTCTATCCTCCTAGCAACAGAGCATTTGAATATAAAAAAATAGGTATTCCATTAAAATATTATCATTGCCAAATTAAAAACACCAAAAACATCTGGGACTTCATGTAGTCTTCTGTGAAACTTGATGATTTTTTTTCTGAAATCATCTTATTGCAAATGTCTTCTGAACTTTTGTTGTATTTATGATTTCAGGACCAATCTTGTGTTAAAGACTTACTTTATGATCTGTCATTACAGGATGTACAACCTCAGAAAAATATTTGGTCTTATTAAATAACATACTATTTGCTGTATTATTTATGTTTCCTGCTTGTTAAAGGGGAACTGCAACGCTATTTTTGTATTTTGGGCTTAGAAAGAATCAGCATTGATGAGTGCATTTCAAACCACAATAAAAGTAAAATGTACACAGCAATGTGTAGAACCTCCAATTTAACTCCTAAAATAGATGAAATTTTTAGGTATGCACAGCACCATATTCTGCAACTCAGAATGAGGCAACAAAAGCAGCCCTGTTGCATTGGAAACAAGCAGACTTGTAAATACATCTTTTTTAATCCCACAGAAACATTGCTCTCGGCTTTGCTAACAAATACTATTTACATTTTAACTCTGCATGCAGATCACGTTGAAACGTTTTTTGCCGTTAAAAGTCTGCTACACAACCTGTATTTATTCCCTCCTACATCGCATCACATTAGTCATTACAGTGACTAGTGAGTGGGAAGGGCCGCGTCACGTCGTAATTCGCCCAAACTCTTGCTCTCACCTGTGTCGAGACCAGCTGTTTGCAACAAAATGGTAACAACACAAGTTTTTTTTTTTAAATCCCCAATTTTGTGCTTTTTTGTTTCTAAGATTTAATAACCAGTCTGAAAATCGGGACTGCAATTCCCCTTTAAATCTCTTTCACAATGATGAGTTTGAAAACCTGTTAAAATCAGCAGTCTTTAAGTCAAGCTTAGCTGTATTTAGTCAGTTTCTGTACGGATCTGGTACGGATTTTTCGATGTAGTGCTTTTCTATTTGTTATTTGTATATCACATTTCTCTCATTAATGTTATCTTTTCCGTATAGCTCTCCGCCCTGTGTAAATCTGTTAAAAAAATTACTTGTTTCCAATAAGGATTACTTTTGAGATTGTTATCTGCAATCAATCCTGTGCTTTGTGTGGAGCTGTCTGTCTTACTAACACAGAATGCTGAATTATGGCTTGGCATTGAGGAATACAGTTATCCAGAAGTGGATTTCCAGTAAAAAGCATAATAAACATCTTTAGGATTAGTGGTGGAGCCATTACTAATTGTTGATGTTCTGTCTCCATGTGTGTGTTGTATTCAATTTTGTTGTATAGACCCTCATACTAGGGTGGCCTACCTTGATTGGTATCAATCGAGACTTTCACTCTGTTGTCTGTGTGCCTGGATATGTTTTATTATCAGGTAAATTGCATGAAAAATAGAAATGCAGACTATCAAATGATGACTGAATGCTATAAGCCCCAGATTTGCTCTGTTTCTACTGTGAAGTAGTACCCCTAATCATGATCTCAAAATTCCTGATCAAGTGCACCGAGAAAACAACAAGAAAAATTGCTTTTTATAGCAACAGTTCCATTTTTAAAGCAGTTTCTGTGGCCTGAGTTTCCTACAAAACGATCGTTATTATTGGTCTTGTAGCTAACTGCTTTAAATCCGAATGTCCATGTAAACAGTTGCAGTCGCTAAAATAATTTAAATAATGATCAGCACTTAGTAAAAACACAGTTACGATCCCTACCAGGAAGTCTTTCCTGGTAGGGAATTTCAGTCTTCAAAATAGAGGTGATTTAACGATGACGTTGCGATTCAGCTAGGACAACTCCCAGAGCTTCTCCTCCTCTAGAGTGGTCATGTTTCCGTCAGTTTGCCTTTGAAGGGGAGCGGATGGGCACAAACTGGCAGTGGAAAGCACATGAGGACAGGGCCAAGCATCTGCTGAGGACTCCGCGTAGCTGAAGCAAAGGGTTAATTGTTACCAGGGCACTACAGTATCCCAGCAGGAGCAGCCCCTTGGTTTCACTTAGGTCAGCATTGTCCTGGGGGATGATGCCGAGGAACAAAAGGCCTTGTTCCAAAAGCAAAGCCCTTTGTCTGTGGAGAATCCATTCAGAAGATCAGATGTGACCTGATCTTTTATTCATGTAGAATGGGCCCTGCGCAGTGCTGCTTTCTGAGTAGAGTACAACTGAAAGGGACTAAAAGGTGCTAAATAATGTGAAGTTTCCTTTGTAGACTGGCCCATAGCTGTACGACCTTGTTTAAGCCATAATGATCTGAAAAACAGAACTGGAAACACTGAGGCAAAGCGCTTTACAGGTAATGGGGACTCCCCTCCACCATCACCAATGTGTAGCTCCCATCTGGATGATGTGACAGTAGCAGCATTAAACTCACCACACACCAGCTATCAGTGGGGAGGAGAACACAGTAATGAAGCCAATTCACAGATGGGGATTATTAGGAGGCCATGATTGGTAAAGGTCAATGAGACATTTGGCCAGGATGAGATTTGGGACATCCTGGGATTTTTATTTACCACAGAGAGTCAGGACCTTGGTTTTACATTTCATTCAAAGGACAGCACCTTTTTATAGTTTAGTATAGTGTCCCTGTCACTATACTGGGGCATTAGGACCCATGCAGACATACTGAGCGCCCCCTACTGGCCCCACTAAGACCTCTTCCAGCAGCAACCTTAGTTTTTCCCAGGAGGTCTGCCATCCAGGTACTGGCCAGGCTCACACCTGCTGAGCTTCAGTGGGCTGCCAGTTATGAGTTACGAGTTGCAGGGTTATATAGCTGCTGGTGTATAACAGTTTAGAATAATTTTAGCCAATTAATTTTATCTCGGTATTTGAAGGAATAATTTCTCGTGCAAACTTAATACAAACATTTAGCAGCCACAGTACTGCTATTAGAAATAAGTTTGGCATCCAAAAATACTGATTATCAAAAGATTTGAAGAAAAACAATATTTCCAAAGTATCCCTGATCTGTGGCCGATGAATTTATATGAAGATAATCTCTCATCCCTAGTCTTCTGCCCTGAGGACACTAGAGGCACGTTTTTACGTGTGTTGTAGGAGTGCCCAGATGTGACTATGTTTTGGAAATGTGTCTCTTCAGCTTCAGCTGCTGTCCTAGACAAGTAGACAAGTTTGTGCTCTTACTAAATGTTGATTCTGTTCTTGGTATCTCGTGGTGAGAGGGGTAGGTCTGGTTGGTGGCTCTCACAGTAGTTTTTGGGATTCTCCACAGTCCCTCTCATGGCATCACTGAACCCTCACTTACCTTCATGTAATCTCTAAGGAAGCTTCAATGGATGTGTTCCATGGTACTGAGGGAGGGTATGAGGAACTTCTTCTTTTGTCTTACACTAGACAGGTGTGCCACTGACGGTGCTGGTGATAAGGGCATGGTTAAGATTGGGAATAAATGTGTTTGTGTTTTTCTTTCATCTGTGTGACAAATTTTGAGCATTTAAAATAAAAAGAAGTTAAAAAAATATATTCCAGATAAAAGGTTAATTGACACCTCTAACTGCAACCGTGTGCTGATGTGTGTTGCTTGCAATGCACCGGTGACCCTTCCAGAGTGCAGCCTGAGCTGAGCCCCGTGCTTCTGGGACAAGTAGTGATTGCCTCAACACTTAACACTAAAAGGATAAAGGACAGAATGATATTACAGGTAAAGTATTTGCGGCACAACTATAGAGCACAAAGCTAACAACCCTGTCCTGTAAAAAACGAATGTTTTGGTAACAGCAACAGGTTGTTGCTGTCCCTACATGCCAGAAGGCATAATGGGCAAACATCCATCCATCCATCCATCCATCCACAGAACTTCCAGGTAATTCAAACACTAAAGAGTCCAGCTCTAGGCGTTAAGCAAGGGACCTGTTGGGACATTTATTTCCTATTTGTGATATCCACCAGACTAGAGATATTTCTTCTTTGTCTAAATAAATGGGAACCTTTCTACATTATTAGGAATAAGGAGAAGGGTTTCCAGTCATTTAACATACATAGAAAGTAACTTAGTCCTAAAATGGCCTTTTATGATGCATGTTCCCTCTTTTTCCTGTGCACTAGTTCTCCTTACTTGCCAGGTAGAGTTCTATATGTCCATGTTGGTAGAAGGCAGGACTCTGATGCTAACAATTTTATAAATATCTGCACACAGTAGTCTGTATGATTATGCCATACCTCTCCTTTTTAAGATTGCCTCATGGTTATTTCTTATTTGTTACCATGCTGTGCTGAAACACAAAGAACACACATGCTGTGTGTGGGGTACAGTATGCCTGATGTTAGAAGTGTAATTGTTACTTTATGTATTTTGCTTGTATAGCAAGCTGG